AATGTATATATAAAAATCTGAAAGTAACAGAGGATGAAAATAGTCAAAAATAAAATGTTGTCAAATTTATTATCGTTATATAGTTCTATTTTAATATTTGTTGGACTTAAATTGTAATTTAATTTCATTTACTTTAAAAATATAATTTTAAATTAAATTTGAATATAAAAAAAAATAATAACAATAATATTAACTACAATGTTTATTATGATTTGAGAAATGGAATTAAAAATGTTTTTTCTTAGTCCATGTACTCCCCTAAAGGAAAATTCATTTGAATCATGTAACTTTTTCAACATATGCTTAAATACTTTCGTATTCATTACATTTAATGCACTTTATTTAATAATTACGTACGTACAATAGTTTTACATAATTTCTGACATGATAAATTAAAAAGTAATCCGCCAAACGTAACTGACACTTTTTAGTATTTAGAATTTTAAGATTAAAATTTTTAAATTGACTTAAATAGTATATATTAATCCGAAAAAAATATCTTAATTTTTTTATTCAATCAATATTTCAAAATTTTTTTTATTTTTTTTTATTATGATTTTGAGCAAAGAAATCCAGTTAATATTGTGATTGTTTAAGATAATATATTAATAAATTATCATTTAAAATGGATTTGTTACTGACCCGAAAATATGAGTACAGTATATTTGTCTAAAACATAATTAATTAAATCAAATTAAAGTGCAGAATTTTAATGTAACTTTTCAATTAATATTATATATCTAATTAAGGTATTTAAAGTAATCAAAATAACATAAATTTTTTAATTATATTAAAATAAAAATTTGTAAAAATATTTAATAATACATAACACTAAACATTTAAATTCAATTAATTTAAATATATCTTTATTAATATATATGTTATTAAATATTAGTATTACAGGTACCAAAGCACCGAAAAATAAATTTAATCTCCTTTAATACTAAATATATTGTTATATTTAATATGAATTACAATATTTTATAGTTTTTAATAATTTATGAATAAATTGACATTATGTATTATGAATATTATGAATATTATGAATAAATTTATGAATAAATTAAAATCTACTCAAATAAAGCTTAGTCCGTTAGTATGTAATAAGAATGTGTTTTAATTGATTAGATAAGTTCTAATTAATCAAACAAATATATGATAAATATTTGATAAAGTGATTTTAGAGTGAACATTGTCGGCACATAATTTACAAAATTTTTGTTTAATTAGTTTAATTGTTAATATTATATACATAGATATCATAAATTTTAAAAAAAACTATTCTTTGTTTGGATGTGATAATTTTTTATGTTGTCAATAAGATAACGATAAAATTTGTAATAAAATAATGAATAAAACTATAAGATAAACAAACAATTTTTTGAAAAAATCAAATAATTAATGAAATTTCCCTCACCTTAATTAAGAAAAACAGACGGGTATAAAATAACACCCTTACAGACTCGTTACTAAAGTCAACCTCAGAATGTAGATTAAAGCGGTAATAAAGAATAATGCAATGCTTGCAATAAAGAAACAAAATAGAAACAGAAAGGAAAACAGACTGAGAACCTACATTTTGCTATGAATTTCTTCGCGTAGCCTTGACGCCCTCAATACAATTTATGCACTTGCATAAATTTCATCTGACTACGCATCACCACATCTATGTGGTGATACGGTGATAAGCGACACACTGAAACGTGGACACGTATTGTCGCTTTCCTCCTATTAAGCACTAGCCGCCATTGCTTGATCAAACTCTCTCTCTCTCACTCTCTCTCTCTCTCTCTCTCTCTCTCTCTCGCTCTCTCGCAGTATACGACTGAGAGTACTCATGTTCATACACACTTGTTTCTATGCCTGTTACTGCCTATTGGAAAGTGTAGCAGAAGCGATACATTAATGTATAGTTTGTAAAGTTTTACACTACCAGTACTTAAAAGTTTATCGACATTGTTAGATAAGTCGAAAAAATTAAATTCTTTTATTCGATATAAATAATTACGAATTCGCTCTTTCGATGCATCTAAGAGATATCTCTAGTACATAACTCTTTTATATTTATATATAAACATAATTCTTTTACATTTAAATACTTTTAAAACTATATTTTTAAATAGATGTTATTATTAGTTAGTAATATAAGTTATTATTACTAATCATGGTAAATAAAGAAATGTAAATTGTAAAGTTATTATACAGTTTCAAGACAAATAAACGACATTGGCACTTATATCAATAATAACTAATCCAAAAACATGTTTCATTCATAATATATTGAAAAAAAAGAAGCTAGTAGGTTCGAACAAGAATAATATGTAATCCAATATTTTTAATTAAATGTATCAAAACCTATAATTAAATCTACGGTTGAAATATAAATAAATACTTAGTTCGTTGTATTGTATTAAAAATAAAATTGATTTTTACAAATATATACCTACAAACTATACTGTATTTTATTACAATAGAATAAAATTTTTTTTTTATTTTTTAACATATTAAATATATTATAATTAAACTCATCGATAAATCATAACTAATTTTGTGTTTAAAAAGTATAATTATATTTAAGTGAAATAGATATATGAAAACTCTACAGATTCATAGATGAAGATGATTTTACGTCACAAAAATGATCTATCTAAGTACTAATGAAGCATCGATGTTGAATAAAGATAGCTTGACGAGCCACATTATTGTGTATTTAACATACATAATTTATTGTATTATATAATATATAACATTGAATGGACAGATACGTTTGAGATTAAATATAAATGACGAATTAACTATTTGACGTAAGATTTAAGCTCACATTAAAATTCAAAATATGAAGGAGACTAGCGAGGGGTTGTAAAAAATTCTTAAATTTATCGATAGACAGAGAGGCTTTTCCATCAACCCATATATACCCGCAATATATATGTCATACATAATTATGGGTGCACTCAAAATTATGAATGAACTCACACAATCATAACTGGACTTAAAATAATACTAAATCGAGTATTAAAGATTTGAGGCTTTAAAGAGACAAAATTTTTAAATTAAAAATGAAACGAAGAAAAAAATTATTATAAAGAGATTACATCAGTCAAAGCTATGCAAATATTTACTAATGTGCACATATACGCATTCTAATACAAATATGACGGTTTATGTGCAAGCACAGCAAGGAATGTTGTTAAAAAGCGAAAAATTAGTGAAATATAATCGTTTTATTAAATACTATTGGAATGCTGATCCTTCGAATTATTATTAATCATTTAATAAATACAGGATCAAACCATCAGTTATTGGAGAATAACTTGTAGAAGTATTGGAAAAATAATATAAGGAAACAATGATAAAATTTATAATGCTGGTCTATGTCATATTTTTAAACGACAATACACCGCTTCAATTATCGCAGAATCTTGAAGGAAAGGAATAAGCAGGGAAATTGTTTGTTTCTTACATAAAATAATAGATTCTGGACACTTTATCAGTCTTGAATACCACTGTTACGAATTCACTATTTATAGATGAATGCATATTTTTATGTACTATTATTTCATCGCATTAATATTTTAATATATTAGCTTTCTATACTAAAAGTATCTATAGATGTTAAGTATAAAAATATTAAAAAATTTAGAATAATAAAATTTAATGTATTAAATTAATGTAATAAATGAAATAATAAATAAATAAAAATTTCTGAAAAAAATATATAATTAAATAGTATTTAAAATTTTAGGTTACAAAAAATTATTGAGTCTAATAATATATAACTAAAAATAAAATATTCTATTTTTTTCATTAAATTTTTAAGTCATACTACGACTAATCATGTAATATAAAATAATAAATTAAAAATGTAACATTAACAATCTTTATGAATATATAATTATAAATATTTATTGAAAATTATATTACGTATTATATAGAACAGTATATGTGTTTGTGTATATTAAAAAAAAATATTTAGAATTTCAGTATGATTTTGATGACGAAAGATTGTTCATGTTACTTTTTTATTTATTATTTTTTTAATAGAATAATATTTTGTAAAAACAGTATTTGTATAAACTCTTATCCAATTATTTCATATATTCCTTGCTCGTTAATTTATTTTGAGCTTAAATCTCTCGTTTAAAAATCTGTAAATATATATTATATATTAGATGAATTAATTTAATTATATTTTTTATTTAAAAATCGATTACATTTTCTGCATTTACTAATTGATTAACTAATTTTATGTATTTTAAAATTTTATATTTTATTTTATGTTTATAATTTTATATAAAACAGTAGCATATAGAACAAAAAATTAGTAGGTGAAAAATAATTAAGGTTTACGAAAAAAGCCTCGAGTATTCCAATAAATATATTTTTAATACTAAACCAGCAAATTTTGTAAATATAAATTTATATTAATTTTAATTATATTAGTAATAAAAATTATACCTTCTTTTAAAAGATAATAAATAAAGCATAAATAAAAAAGTTTTATGATTATATTTTAATATTAAACTGTGTTGCAGTTTTTACGCTTGCATAAAAATTATCTTTTACAGCTCATCATGCTCAACTTATTCATGTTATAATTACGTATAAAATTTTAAAAAGTAATTCAAGTAAAAAGCTTCCATTGAAAGTGATCAAACTGTTGCGCTTCATCAGAAATTAATGACATACCTAGAAAATCTAGAGAATCATAATATTTGCACTTCCTATATATCGTACTATCTGCATTACTACTCTTTTGACACTCCATTACAATTCATTTTATAAGCTATTTATCATTACTCAATACATCAAACAATAATGCTCTTGTTAAAAAAAGTATATTTATGATTTTTAAGAAATTTGTATAGAAATTAATCAGGCTAAGAAAAAATACCACAAGTACTTATAAAATCTTTAAAAAAAAAACTTAAAATGATTATTTATTGACTACTATGTATAAATTAAAGACTTCTACAAATTTTGAATGAAATTGAACTTACCAACAAGTGCTAAAATCACAGTAAGAAGAGAAGCAGCTGAAAATGATACTGTAGCATTGAATTCTAGCATTTGTAAAAGATCAACTACAACAGAAAAATTACTTATTATTTATTGGTTTAAATTTACAATGTGAAATATTCTAATATGATATACCAAGATATGTTTGTTTCTTTTAATATCAATTTAAAGTAGGTTCCAAATAGAAAATTAATTAAAAATATGAGCAAATGATTCATACGAAAAATAAAGTACTTTCAAATTTTCAAATATCAAATTAAAATAAACTATAATTAGAAATAATCAAATATATTAAATAATATATTCAGAAAAAATATTTAACAAACATATATACAAAATATAATTTAAACAAATTCACGAATGATATTAAAATTTATTTTTTCAAATAAAGTCCCTGTATTACGAAAAATAATTATTTACATATATAGTTAAATTATGTTAACATAATATGTTAAATTAGTCTTAATATTTTAATGTAAATAGATAAATGATAAACTTTTATAGATAAAAAATACAACTTTTCTTATTCTATATCACATAAATTAATAAAATCAATAATTAGTTATTTTATTGTGTCTTTAAATATTATTTATTTGAACATTTTAAACAGTTATTTTCATTTATTGTTTTATTGTGAATTTAATTACAAAATTAATACACAGTCGCTATTAGAGATTTCTCTATAAAGATCAGAGTTGTATTAATTTAAATAAACCAAAATAATAAAAGATTATTTATCCTTTCATAAAAGAGATAAAATATTAAATTTTTAAAAATATTTTATTAAATAATATTGAATAACAATGATGCTAAATCAATAACTAACAATTTTCGGTCTAAATTGAGTCTTTGTACGATCCAAAATGATATAAATGAGGCGAATTATATAAATACAGTACACAAATATCACAAATTATTGAGAATTATAATTTTCGTTGATATAAATATATAAATATTTAGATTATTGACATTTAAATGACGTTCAAAGCAGGAATCCAGTTTAAGTTAGAAGTAACTTCCTTGAGTAATTAAATATGTATCATATTCAATGATTTATGTAAATGCCACATGGAAATTATTTTTTTGTAAAATATGAATTTGTTGAAATTTTGTTATCTGAAAAATATAATCTATATAAAATTATTTTGTAATTAATATTTTGTAGTTCAAAGACATTTTATTAAATATAAACCACACTTTTAATTGTTAATTTTTTCTACCTATTATATATTTATTATTCTCATAAAAATACAAATAAAATTATATTAAACTGAAAAAATCAGATGTGTATGTCATACACCAAGATTATAAAGATTATAATTGGATATAGAAAAATGTAATAATAAAGCTGTGTTTTTAAAATTGTTCATTTGAAAAAGGTTTCAATAAATTGTTTATTATTATTAGCATGAAAAAAATGTTTAATAATAAACAAATTTTTAATACTAAAACTTGTGTGTAAATAAATTTTAAAATACATATAAAATAAACCTTTTTACTTCAATTACTATTTATTAATATTAATAACATATTATTTTTAAGTTATTTATTTATAATATTAATTTAATTTAATTAATCAAATAGAAAATTATAGAAAACTTTTAATGATTAACTATTTTTTAAATATTTAGAGTAATTTTGCTAATATATATATAATAAAATTAGAATTCAATATTCTAGAAACATATTGTACATATTTTAATGATAAAAAGCAATACAATGCGCATATTATATTGAAAAATAAAACCATTTAAAATCCATATAACTGACACTCGTTTCTTTTTATCAAAAACATGTTATTTAAATATAACTTAATTATTATTATAATATAAGAAATGTATTGTAATTAAATTATTGATAAGATTAATATAATATATAAGCTATTATTATTTTTAAAAATTAATTAAGTAATAGCTTACATGATGAGTAAACTAAAGTCAAAACGTAAAATCTAATGTCCGATGAAATAGGACTAATAAAGAAATCTACGAATATACCCTACATACCCTTAAAGTGATATTTTTTTAATATCTTTTTTTCGAAAAAACGTTCGATTGAAGAAATGAAATAAGAAAGATATATTATTACAAAGTTAACCGCTCGATCCACCAAGGTAATTAAAAGATCATCCTAAGTTTATTATCAGATGAGTAATAAATACTAATATCATATCTACACAGTCTTCCTTGTTAAATCATAATCATTATCATATATAAGCTTTGCTGCAAAATCTATAGTGGCATCATTTTAACAATAATGATTTGTGTTCGAATTTGATATCAATTATTTTTTTATATTTCAAATCTTAGTTTAATTACTAAGTAACGATTCATTAATTAATTATCGTAGATATATAATAATAATTTACAACAAATAATTTCATATAAAAATAGATTAAAATACATCGATGCATCATAAATAATTATTTCAATGATTAATAAAACCATTATGTTTTATATCATAAAAAAGATATTTTTGAAAATAAATAGTTTTCATAATTTATTTAATTTGATAATACTTTCTAACTTTGCTATTAAGCATAACAAATATTATTTCATCATAACTATAATAACAATAAACATTTAAATATAATCCCTAATCCAAATATTAAGTACAAAACCCAGCAATACTATTTACTTGATTAATTTGTTACGTCGTATTTCACAACGCATTGCATGGTGGTTAGACAAGTCGTCTATACAGACTCGTTAACCAAGATTATCTTCGTTATGGAAGCATTAATCCACAGCTATGGATTGTCATTATAATATCCAGTAAATATACAGTTGGCTGGAACCTGGTAGACGATAGATGCAGATAGAGATAGAGATAAAGATAGTAATGTTGAAGGAATAAGTTTTGCCACCTATTATTTGTAACAATAACACGTCGATTTTACTGATAATATGAGAATAGAGAGAGAAAAGTGATCAAGAAAAAATGATGACGATTAACTAACAACTTACCAAGTAATCTACATTCCTTTAAGTTTTATAGTCACGATTACACTATTCTTAGTAAATATTTCATTAAATAAAGATTATTAATATTTATGTATAAGTCAAAAAAAAAAAAATAAATAAATAAAACGTAAAAATACATATATTTCTTTTTTAACGAATTCAATCATGTATGTTTATTCAATTTAATATAAAGGAAAAGTATAAAAAATTCATTGGCAACATATTAGATTTTTATGTAACTTTAATAAAAATCAATATTAAAAAATATTTTTATATTTTGAAAATACATTTATTATTAGAAATTGTCATTCTAAATTAAAAGTGACACTTAATGAAATAATACTTATATTAGATATAGATATAATAATTTGTCATAAGATTGAATATTTTATGGCTTATTTAAACTTGCATTATTTCTTGTTTAGACTATAATCGCGTTATCCTTAATTGCGTTATTTCACAAACCTTTTATTTTATAATACCTACATATTTTGTAATATTTATAATTTTACTAATGAGCTTATCATTCAGTGAATAAATTATAAATCTATTTCTTTCTCGAATGGATTTTTGTTTATAACAGTTGCCTAATAATTATTTGTTATATAAAAATTCCATTCATTTTTAATAGATTGAATAATTTAATTGAAATTTAAAAATTTTGATATATATTAAGAAAATATTAAAACAGTCAATAAATCAATGGGAAACTGTTTTGGTTACATTATTCTAATATTTTTAGATTTTTTAATTTTTTTTTGTACCAAATGTTTTCATTTAAAAAATTGTTAGTACTCAAATACTACGCTTGTTTTTCGTCGAGTATAGTCGAGATTACCTTTTCTGAGAATTGAATACGTTAGCGATAACCCCATATTTACGAAAATGTTTCATAACATCTTTATATATTATATACATACACACATTATAGTTGAAAAGATTACTAATAAATTCTATATTAAAATATATTATATGCCTGATAAATATTTTTCTTTATCTGATAAATTCAATTAGTACAAGGCCTTTAAAATTCTCATTAATAATGTATCACTTAATTAAAACTTATATTGAATATGTTTTATTGGGACCGTAACATTTTAAGTACTTCAAAACTACATTTTTAAATTTTATACATTTTATAATAAAATCAGAAAAAAAAGGAATAAGTATAAAGAGTATTATAATAGAATAAAAGTATTTATAACGTCTTCTATTTCAATTATATTATCTTTTTAAGAATTTACAGTACTACTGGTGTACATAGAAATTATTTATTAAATCTGTCTACGAAATCGCATTCATTGATTAAAGTACAGTAGTATATTACTTATTTACATAATTAAGAAAAAAATGTATAAAGTATAATAAAATACAAATACATTTATAAAATAAATTTTTAAAATAAAAGTCTGGATACCATGATTATATTTAATAAATGTTTTTCTCGTTAAAAATTTTTTTTTTAATATTTAATTATTTGTTTTTTCAAATTTAATTAAAAATCCTCCTTCTATAGATAAATTAAAAGTTTTTTTACAAAATATAACAGGGTACGTTGATTTATCAGTAAACTTAATGATGAATTTTCGTAGTATATATACAAACAATATCTTAGTTTCCATCAAAGCAAAACGATTTCCAATACATTTTCTTGGTCCAAGGCCAAAAGGCATATAGACATGGGGATTAATTTTATTTTTATTCTCCTCAGAAAATCGTTCAGGTATAAATCTATCCGGTTCTGGAAAATATTTTGGATCATGATGCAATCCAAAAACTGGCATTACTATATTGGTACCGACATCTACTCGATATTCTGGGTATCCTTTCACAGAAGGTGGCATAACAAATTCTTTTGTACAAACTCTATCTATCATTGGAGCAGGCGGATATAATCTCAAAATTTCATTAAGAACCATGTCTAGATACTTCATTCTTCGTACTGATTCATAAGTTATCTGACCATTTTCTATTTGAAGCTGTTTTTCAATTTCTTGCCTTACCTTTTCTTGGATATCCAAATGAGCAGCCAATTCATATGCAGTAAAACACATCAAAGTTGATACAGTATCAAAACCAGCTAAAAAAAAAATAAAAGCTTGGCCAATTATATCATCGATAGTAACATTTAAGCCATTATTTTTATCTTTAGCTTGAATTAGTAATTGAATCATATCAGGTCTAATTATACCCTTCTCTTCTCTCATCTTCACTGTGGCAGTAACAAGTTGATTAAAAAATCTATTCGTGGATCTTGACATAAACCTCTCTCCAGTCATACGTAATAATTTAGGAAAATAGCGAAATAATATAAATTTCATCAATCTCAATGGACTTGAAAAATAAGTAGCATCTTTCCCATAAATATAAAATTCGTTTTTACAATCTTGCATTGAATTTACTTGAATTCCGAAAGCTGTTGTAGCAATTACGTCATTGGTATATCTAGTAAAGACATCTTTAGCTTCAAAACTCTTAGCTAGTTCCAAGTGTTCCATAAAGTATTGAACAAACTCTTTTGCACACTCAGAAATTAATTGAAACATAATCTTTATTTTATTTGCTGTAAAGCTGGGACTCAACGTATTTCTAAATTCTTTCCATCGTTGGTCTTTTAAAGAAAAGAGATTGCGACCTACAATGGGATCCATCTCTTCTGTAACGAAGCTTCGATGATTTGGGAAGTTATCAAAATGTTTAACACAAATATCACGAATGAGATCTGGATCTTTCATAATAATTATAGGTGTATTAAAATCAAAAGTACCATAATATCGTGCTTCTGGATACATATTATATAAATATTGTGAGTGTTGAGGGAAAGAAATTTGCCGAAAAAATATTGATGCATTTTTACCCAATACAGGCATCACTACCAAATGAAGAACTTTTCGTCGTTTCCAGTAAGTTAAATTATATAAAGTTGACAGACTTATAAAAAGAAAGCCTAATGCTATTATACACATCACTAGTACATATAAACATGCCATTTATACAAAATCTTTTCGAATTATATATTGTTTATAAATATTATAAAATATGTTTTTATAAACAAATATTTAAATCTATTAATATAATATTGTTACAACGATATACTATTTGCATCAACTGATTACATTTTATTACACATTTAATACTATATATATCGTAATGTCTAATTCAAATATCACTAATGCAGCTTGATATGTTTTAGTCCTTCTTATAATTCAATGATATATTTTCGTTTATCCATTACTTTTGATTTTTTAAATAGAAAGATTATTGAAATTCATCTGTCGACTCGCACGAACAACAACTAAAACTGCGTAGCAATCTCATTGCGCGCGCCATATTATTAAAGACAAGCTAAGTAGATTGCGTCATATCATACTCCCGTACTTATCGAAATTCAATTATTAGGCACAATCTCCCTTCTCTGCATATCTGTTTTCTTTCCACCTAGTATTAACACTAAAGTATATTCTACCGTTTATGCATCAAAGAAATTATATTTCGATTTTTTGTTGGTTAAAAAGTAGAGCATGGAGAAGGTAAATAATATTTAACAAACGACGTTCATGATTATGGTTACCTGCACGAATATATTAGTAACTTTAATATGTACATCAAAATCTTATGCAGGGCCGTAACTTAGTGAAACCGAAACAACAAACTTGAATGATATTTATATCAATGAATGTTTGATAATATAAACAAATTTCTTAGCTTGTTGACTATATAAATTATGTTACATTAAAATTTTTTATTAATTACATGAACGGATAAGCAAATTTTACAACTTTAAAAATTGTCAAATATCTTTTATCAATTTAAATAGTTAAATAATATTTAAAAATTTACATTAATAGTAAAAGATTTTATATATAAACTAAAAAATATTAAATATGTACAAGAAATTAAATACTAATTAAAATACAATTTTTTAATAAGTACATTTTTAATTCTATACAGATTTTGAATACTTTTCAAATAACTTAATTTATTATATAAATATTAAAAATATTGATATATTATTATATTTATATTTTTTAAATTAAACCTATTAAAATAGTAAATAATAATATATTTTTTAATTATTATTTCCAAATTTGTTCATGTAGTTTTTTATTATATACTTTATTAAATTAAGTTCAAACGATAATAAGTATATAGTTATAAATTATATTGTTTTGTGTATTAATTTTGAAATACAAACGAACGAATATATATTTGTATTTATTTACAGAGTATTTTCCGATAAAATGAATAAAATTAATAATAAGAAATTCATAATATCGTATTTTAAATGAATTTATTTATCAAAATAAATATTTCTAAATTATAAATGTAATTAAAAGTCTATTTTTTCATTTTATATTAAAATTCTCCTTTATGAATTAAAAATAAAATATCTATCAATTATTTTTTGAAATTTTCAATTTATTAATTCAGATATTTTATCATTTATTGTATAAATTAAATTATTAAATATATAAAATCTTTTAGAACAGTATGAATTTATATACTCACCAATAAAAACGAAGATCTGATGATGAGAGTAACGTAAAAGCATTGAAATTGATGCAGTCTAAAAATGCACAATAAAATCTTTTAAAATACTAATACTAAAGATAACACAAAATTTTTAAATTATAAAATTATTACGCCCAAAAATATAGCGTTATATATTTGATTTCATATTTTCATTGTAGTTTTAAATATAATAACTAGATTAGTTCTAAAAAATAGTTTTAATTGAAAATATTCGATAAAAATAGAATACTTTATAATAGATAAAAATATAAGAGAAAAACTTTTATTAATTCAATACATGTTCTATATATTATATAAAAGTTTATATTATTGAATTCAGAAATAAAAATAATGTCTAAAAAGTTTGTATAAATAGAAAATTTATAATTCATTTTTTAACAATAACATTTACCTAGAAAACAAATTTCATGCAATTATAGATATTGTTTAATGAATATTAAACGAATTTTATTAAAATATTGGTAATATAATAACTAATAATTTTTGTCATTAATACAAATTATACAAACTATTTAAAAATAATATTTAAACTTATATTTAACATTTAAAATATTTTAGTTTTTATTCTTGACTCTTATCATTATTATAGTAATATCACATATACTTACATACAAATTTAAGTTATAATATGAATTATAAATAAAAAATACATAAAATATTATCGAAAACATAAAATTTTATCTAATAGGAATATATACAGATAATGTAAAAACTTAGTAATTTTGTAACATGAAGTTAATTGCCAATTGCTACATAGCTTCATATTATCAGATCATTTAAATAAAAAAATAATCTAATGAATTTTTTATCAAGTGTAAGCTTCGTAATATGTATTTATAATTTTTTCATATCTGTATTTTAGATAATTTTCATTGAATTCAGATGAATACAATAATAAAGCTTGATAGACTTCTGAATTAAGAAACTTCAAATATTAGGTGACACGATTTCAATGTTAAAAATTTAGCTTTCTAATTTCAAATCTTATTTAGAAGAGTATTTATATTAAATATAGAATATTAATATTAATATTTATATTAACAAAAATATCAAGATTTGGTTTTGAATTTTTTTCTTTACTTATTATTTATATAATTTAATTCGTATACAATTTTATAAGATTTGAACAATATAACATTATTCAAATCATAAAAAGTACAGAATTCATAAAATAGTAGTAGAGATAAATATTATGAAAGGTACTAGGTGTATCTGACACTACTTTGGATGCCCAATTTCGAAGATATATTGTAATATACTCCACTTCATAAATAATAAGAAAATCATTCAGCCCCCTTCCCTCCTTCTAGTCATGCAATCATATAAGCTTATTAAATATGACGTTGTCATTAAAGTAAGTTAGCGATTTAATATTGAAATATCCTAGGCTATTACTATTAATAATTTTAATTTTGTAATTATTAACAAATTTGTTTATATATATAACAAATTTTTAATTAAACCAAAACTAACATTTTACAAATAAAATTTTATTTAAAGTTATAAACTGTTTATGATTAAGATTTATGTATTATTTATATTATTTATGTTATATATCCAAATATTATAGTCACAGAAAAACATGAAAATAAATTTGAATTAACAATTGTTTAGTAGCGAAGTCAATTATAAGTATAACTTTATTATTTGTTTATTATTCATAATAGAAATTTAATTACATAATAAATTTATATTGTATGCCTGCTTATAATTACACAAATGCATCATTTGTATAATAATAATAATCTCAACTTTGAAGGTTATTTAACAACCACTTTTATTTTAAATAAAATGTTTAAAATAGAATTATATAGTTGAAAATAATTTTCTTAAATTGTAATAGAGGTTACCACTTATCATCAATTTATATTTAATTTATTAACTAATTTAATTACATGGAATCTTGTTTAAATTTTGTATTTTCTAATTATAAGATTTTTATTCGAAGAGATTCTTTCAATTTTATATTATATATTAAAATTGAATGTTCTTATTTATTGTTACAAAAATAATGTAATAGATTTAATGTTGTTGAACAAAAGACTCTAATTATATCAATGTATAGATTTCGTTAAACATTTTATATAAAATAATAAATTTTTATTTGAAATTTTTGAACGTACATATTTCATTTGAATTTAAATACCTTGAAAATATATTAAAATAATTCAATTGTTTGTTCATCTATTCATTTTATTTTTCTGAGATATCAACTCATTTCAAAGATGAAATCAAATACTCGATTTTGTTAACAAAATCATTTATTTGTTTCCATATCTTTTTTCTTTCTTTACCTGTATAAGTTTGAACAAATATATGTAATGGTGATATTTGCATTTTTATAGAGCATTATTATTTAATTTTTAATTATGCAAATTAAAAATGTATGATTCCATTTATTTTATTTAAAATAATAATAATAAATACGTAAAAGATAATGAGTTTTAATGTCTTTACATATAATGAGAATAAACATAGAATTAATTGAAATATAACTAATAGATAACCTAAATATCACATTAAAATTACTTCATTTGATTTAAATATGAATTACAAATTATAAACAACTACTATATTAGTACATAATATATTAGTATATGAGTACATATCTTGAAGCCGTTCATTTATATCGTACAAAATATTATATAAAAACCCTTGTAAATACAGTTAAAAAAAACATTAAAAAGAAAAATATAACAAATAAATCAAAGAAAAGGAGCATTTGAAATTTATTATTCATAACAGATACAATGCGTAATGGAAACAAGTAGCATTACGAAGAGAGAGAGAGAGAAATAGATAAGAGGAATAAGTAGCAAGGTCTAAGAAATTGTCAAAGAGAATACCCGCGAACCGATACAATCAGTTTGTAAACACGTAATGTAGCGTTGTTCAAGCAAAGCGATGAGATGTTTCAACAAACAAAAAAAAGGGCTTTGTTGAATTTAAAATAAATGATCTCTCTACTCCCGCACTATCTTATATATCCATCATAATATTTCGATTACTCTTGATCGGATGGGTGCATTGATTTAATCGAATTATTTAATATATAAATATTAATTAATATATAAATATATTTAATTTATAAAAATTCCAAAAATCGATAGCAAATCTATTAAGACCTTAATATTTTTAAAAATGAAATATATGTATGATTGTAACTAACTTATAATATTTAGATAAATTTAATATTGTTCATTCTTAATTGCATTCTCGGCCGCAGTTCCAATAATTGAATAAATTTATATACACAAGCATAAGTATTTTGAAAATTTGCTAATATAACTTGAAAATAAATGATATAATATATAATAGAGCTAATATAATTGAAAATAAAAATATATCATGATTAAACGTTAACAAGATAATTACATAAATTTTTTTATGATATTTTTTTATGAATACTCATTTTTTATCTTAAAAAATACTTTACGTAATATCAAATCTGTAATTATTAAAATTAATTGATTTTAATTTTTATCAATAAAACTCTAAAACTATAATTAAAATAAAAAAGATGCCTTTAACTTCACAATATAAATTATATATATATATATATAAATATTATAATAATAATACCTAAATAAGGTAACTTTAATTATTTTAACCAAATAATTATATCATTCAAATGTAAAGTAAAATTATTTTAAACATATTTTATTAAAATTCTTAATATTTTAATAGAACATCATTTTATTAAAGCGGAGTTATTTAAATTTTTATGGTAAAAACTTGAAAACATAATATTTAAAAAATAGTTTAGTCTATGCAGAATTTAAAAACAATTACAAATAATTTATACTATTATAAATGATAGCCTTATTTTTTTTCGACAATTATATTATAGAAATTATAAACAAATATTTCATTAAATATTTTGACAAATTTTACAACTCATTTTCCAAGACTTTTTAGAAGAGGAATGTTATTTATTTATAGTATCTCAATATTAATATATTGTATTATCTTATTTTATAAATTTCAGCAAAATATCGATATTTGCAAATACATTGACAAATGTATTGTCGGCAATTTTTTGTGTAGAAAAACAACATAAGAAAATCAAATGTGGGCATGTCGTTTCTATAAATTTTCATAGAACAACTTATATTTACATCAGGGTAAGACCGTTTTTTATAATATATCACCTTTTTCAAATTATCAGCAAAATCGTTTTAAGCAATTTAATTTATCATTCTTTACAAACCTCTCGTAATAATCTGATATACTTATTTAAACGTACAAAAAATAATAATACATTGTATTATACTATCTATCTGTACTGGTACTCATTTGGTTTATGTAACAGTCTCAAAAGTAACAACCCTAGAGTGGTGATATGCATGCAGAGCACTTGCATACAACGTAGCAATTGAATACATGCTGACGATACAAGGTATCTTATACGCTCAAATAATTTGATACCAAATGACCGGTCTGGAAACTGCCACGAATACGACGCTTATAATAACGTTGATTTATAAGCTCGCAACATAGCTCTGAAGTGTCGCCCCATCCTCCATCTGTTTACATGTGTATGCCTATTTCTCTCGCCTACGCGGTTTAACCTAAGCAATTAGCTAAAATGGATTGCCTGTATCATTTTACATGAGCTACCACTGCTAGTGATAATGCTGACACCATGTACTTGCGTTGTTCACATTGATTACTACTTTTCTCTACACAAGCTTTTATGTGCCTGACATAGCTCACGTGGAACATATGCTTAGAAGTAAAATATGTGAATAATCTCTTCCCATGAAACCGTAATAAATTAAAATAATTTTTAATCTTTTTATAATAATAACTCTTTATATTATCAACATTTTACATATTTGAGTACCAATTAATGAATATTATAATAAATGATTATTTCATTTAATATTATTTACAATCACCACTATCCAACGATGTTTTTATAAACTTGTTTAATGAAATATAATTAATAATTTTAGTAAAACGTAACTGAATAAGTATTTTATAAAAACAATAAGCAAAATGAATATTTACAGCAAATGTGATAAAAATAATAAATAAATAATAAATAAAATAATAAATAAAACATTGATTAATATTCCAATTTTTTACTAATATTTATATGTAAACCCAAAATTGTTTAATAAGTTGAATAATCTCACAATAACAAAATTATTACAAATATTTTTAAATATGTTAAGTTTATTTAAAACACTGAAAGAATAATATTAAAATTTTCAAATTAGTTTAATTATAGCAATTTTAATATTTGTAATTTAAAGTATTAAACACTTACATGATATAAAAGTACATTATATTAAATATATATATTGTATTAGAATTCGATCTCTGATTTCTGTAAAATTACGTATAATGGTTACTTTATCAATATATTTCAAATTATTTTTTCTTAAGATCAACAATTTTAAATTTCTAATTTTATAAACTCACTTCATCCTTTGTAATTTTAAGATTACCATAGATATGTAATAAGAATATATTTTTACAAAGAAAAATATCATAAATATTTAATAATAAAAAGATTAAATACTTATTAAATATAAAAAGGAAGAATTAACTGTTTTCTGAGTACACTTATAATAAACTAATTTTAGGAAAAATGAATGTAATTGGTACATAAACTAATTTAATTTTTTCTAAATTTTATAAAATAAATAAAATAAACAAAATTCAAATTTAAATACATCATAATCAAATTAAACAAATATAATAAATAAAATATCCAATTTTTATAGTATACGTTCAATTTATATAGTTAAAAATATTATTTAAAAATATATTAAAATATATAATTATTAAATAAAATTTTCGAAATATTAAGTAGTTTCTAAATTCTATATAATTTCTAACAGAAAAAATAATTTTTCTACTAAATATTAAAAAAAATATATATTTATATTAACAAATTTAGAAAGAATATATTTATAAGTATTTTTAAAATATTTTACAATTAAGATATTCAAAAAGTTTGTATATCGAAAATAAGATATATATAAAAATTATAAAAAAATATTTGAAATACTATGCTATGATATTTTTATATTATCAGATTATCACGTGTTATTACATTATTATAGCTCAATATTTAATTACTATTTTATAATTTTCTTTCAATTTAATTTTTTCGCACCTTAACTCGTAACGGAATTTTTTTGTAAAAGGAAATATAATTTTAATAAATTGATGCTTTATTTATAAATTCTTGCAAAAGCAAGAATAATTTTATATTATGTGATTTTATAATAATTAAAATAATTTTAGTTATTTAATTTGAATACTAAATTCATATATTCTATACAAGCACCCATACACGCAAATATATTTTAATTATCAACATTTTATTAATTCGTTATTTTCATTTAATTATAAAATTTTTATTTTCTAATTCGTATATTTTTTATTTTTAAGTATATTTATTATAACTTACTTATTTAACCAATATTATGTTATAAAATTACAATACTTTTTATAGTTTAAAATGGATCTTTATTTATATCAAAGACAATGACTATTTATTAAAAATAATTTATAATTCATTCACAAGTAGCTTAATTAATAGCAGAGACTATAAATTAACAAATTTCTTATTATAAATAATTGATTATTTCGTTAATACGGATTGTTAATAGATTTCAAACATTTTTAAATAGTTAGTAATTTGAATGCATGATATAATATGACAGTATTTTATCCATTTAACATTAAATATTTTATAATTAGATTAAAATTTTTTATAATTATTTTTGTTAAAATTAATAAATTATATAATAGAAATATAATATAATTAATTTAATATAAATAATAAATCATTCTACCTAAAAAATAAATCTATATCATTTTCTAGAAAATTGGATAGCATAAATATATATACTAATAATAATCATTTTTACTTGGCATTAATTATTATTTTAAATATATTCTACTTACAAAAATAAGCATGATGAAGAATGCAGCTATATACGCTGTTCTTGACATCCACATGCTTACAAAACGGTAATGCTCTCCTGTAACAACATTACTGTAACAAATAATAAATTGAATTTTAAAAATATTTTTAGCTTCAGGTATAATATGTGTACATATTCTAAAACATTATATATATATATATGAATATATATACACATAGTTTATGTAAAACATTGAAAATGTTATATTAAAAAATATTTATATTGTTATATAATTACATGTATACTGAAACTAATTAACCATATTTGATTTTATTAAATTAATCATATAACATTAATTTAATTACCGTAAAAACCCTTTATTATCTTCATGCTCTGCAAGTGTTTTGATACTAGCCATTAATAAATTATCATAACCTAAAAATTCATCTAGAATCAATCTCGAAAAAGCATCTCCAAAGCACTTATCATTCAATGGGTCTAAAGTAACGATTTTCACTGGAATGTTTAATTTTTGACGCCTTTCAGGTGAGAGACGCAAAAATCCATACTCCAAGGAGTACTCAACTATGTACTCATCTTCTGGGAAAACTGCAATTTATTAGGCATTAATATTTAATAAATTTATGATAGTGATCTAAAATATTTTCAATTTTATTAAACAAAATAATTTTCACCTGCTTTAACTATTTTTTCAACTTCTGAAACTTTATGTTTCAAAGGCTGAATAATATTATCTCTAATAGATGCTTCATTACTTTCATCATTTGTTTTATTATCTAATGCCTTCATAGCTAAAGATGTTGGTTCCTAAAATGCAATGTTAATGTAAATACAAAACATTATAAAAATTAGGATCAAGAACAGTTAAGAAATGTACGTGGGAATGATCTTGAGTATAACTACTCCAAAGTTGTGTCGATAAGAAAGGACTAATAGCTGCATTTGATGCACTAATATTTTCCATATTATCTACAGTAGCACCTTCTAAATTTAATTTTTTAACAGAGATCGTTAAATTTTGTAACCCTTCATCTGATATATGAGTACCTTGATCATCGTTAACTGCAGATGGTTCTATATTAATAAATCTATAAAAATTATGAATAATTTGTTAAATAATATTATAATTATATAAATTTTGTAAATTATGTTCATTTTAAGAATAATTACTAACCCTTCACCAGATAGTATCCCTAAAACACTATTCAAATCTTCAACTTTTTCTTGACGTAGTTTTTCCTCCTTAGCATAGCTTTTCTCTATACTATAATCATCTCCAGCATTTCTTAGGATTTCTACTCTGAGTATTCCATCTCTTGGCCATTCATCTCTCACATGTTCCAAACAGTTAGCTGGTGCACGCGAAAATACTACATGTATATAAACTAGCACAAAAAATGCCATAATTGCCTAAAATCAAATGATTTATTAACTAGTTTGTATGTAATCAAAAGAACATAAATAGATAGATAAAAAATTATATTGTGCTAAATTATTTTATTGTAAAGTTAATTAAAATACCATTTTACATATTCATAAACTTAAATTTTGCTTTTATATATTAATTCAAAACAAATATAAGTTTTTATTATAACTATGTTTATCAAATTTTTTATACTAACCTTTAATAAAACAACAAATTCTATCATTCTTCTGACAGGTCTTGGGAAGGTTCTTGCATAGAATAAAGCAGATTTAATAAATAGAGCATGAAATAACCTATCTCGCACATTAAATAATGAATTTTGATTATTATTATTCCTTGTTCTATTTATATTATTATTGTTTAAAACAGGGCCAATTGCTTCTGCCAAATTGTGATTATTATCTGCTACTGCAACATTCTGGTTATTCGCCAGTGGTACAGCAGCAACGTCTAATTGTGGCATCTTTATACAGGTACTGTCAACACAATTACTGCAGCCAAAAAATGACTTAATTATCAAAACTCATCAAGTCACTGAAAATAATTCTTGTATTGAAGCATTCTGTTATATGTGTCAACATTTCCAGATAATTTGTAAAACAGATTCTAAAAGATAAAACAACAATACATAAAAATATAAATATAAATTCAACAATCAATATTTTATTTAAAAAAATATATTTTCCATTTATTACCAAAGATATTTATGAGTATAAGATTGTAATTATTCACAATAATATAATTGAAAAAAAAATTACTGAATATTTCAATTATTAAAGCATTTAAATATTTTTAAATTACAACAAATGAATTTTACTAAAAATTTCTTTGATAAGCTATATTAAATAATTTCATAAACTATACTAAAAAAAACCTTATAACTATAAATTTAATAAATAAATTAATTAAAACATAAGTTTAATAATATAAGTCTACAAGAGAAATAATAGATTTGTTATATTCAATTGAAAGTAATAAACATTTATGTACAACAGCTGTTATTTTGTTAAATATGTATCAAATTTTAAAATAAAATATATATATTTAAATATATATATCAAAATAAGTTTCACAGTATGAATGTTTTATAAAAATAAACACTCGACTTAAAATTGAAATTTTATTATAATTCCTAACTTAGCCCTTTCTGATAAAAAATATAATACAACTAAAAACATAACCTAAATCATTATCTACATTATGCTTCTTTTGTAATTTTTCGAGAATATATTCGTATAAATTTAAATCAATTAAAAGAAGGATCCAAACAATAAAATCATATGTAATGTAAAAAAGGCCAATGGTTTTAAATGCTAAGAAAAGTGGGGGAAAGTGACTTTCACTAATTGTTAGATTTTTTTATGCCCACACCCTATGGTTACAAATGAGAAGAACATAATTAACTTTTCTCCCTTTTTATTAATAATAAATGTAACCGCATGACGTAATTAATATACGAGCAAAAAATTAAATTAAAATACCAAACGAAAATTTTTAAACAATTTAGGAAGCAACATAAAACTGAATTTGCCTTCCTTTTTTTAACATATTTTCATATTTCTTTCTGAACATACAGAATACACTGATAAGTCTAATTTGCTTAAAATTTATACGAATTGATATTCTTTTTCCTTTTTATTTATTTGTTATATATATATATATATATATATATATGTGTGTGTGTGTGTGTGTGTGTGTGTGTGAATATATGCATGAGTAGCTGCAGTATGTATTGATGCTTTTAAGTGGGGCATATTAATATATATATTTGGTATAAATTAATATATGAGTACATAATGTAAGAATGCATATATGTACGTGGTATGCATGCATGTACCTTCGTTTCAGAAGAACAGATAATGAATTTGCAATTTAATCGTTCAATTGTTGAATGTCGTCTAAAATTCAAAAGTAAGCGTATGGACGCAATATGATCACAGGTGTTGTGATCGAAACTTTTCTGCTCTATATGTATTTCCCTCTCTATTATGTTGTTTTTTCTTTCCTCTTATTTAGTTTGTACTGTCAATAAATTACCAGAACTTTTCAACCAGCTACAAATTGACTGACTACCTAACTGCTTATACTTGGCTACTCGACTCAATTTTAATGCTACTTTGTACACTACTCTGTGTATATATAAAAGTGTTATTTTTTGTCACATAATATAAAGAAAAAAAGGAATATCCAAAATGAAACTCTAGAAGTTATTGAATAAAGAATTTATTGTAAAATTCTGTGTGCAAGCGTATTTTTACAATATATGTTATACGTTCGATAAATGTACGAGCGTGGAAACGGCGCTGTGATCAAATTTTGTGCTTCAGCGCCATTTTAAAAAAATTCTACAAATAAATTAACTATAAATAATTATACATTTTATATCATAGTATGATACAAAATATTGTATTATTTCATATTTTAACAAATTGCTTTAGATTTCATCAATTTATGCAAAATACATATTTATTATATAAAAATATTAACATTAATAAAGTATCTTAATCTCCCTAATAATTTATATTAATATTTAAAAATAAAAATTAATCGTAAATTCATATTTGATTATTTGTAATGTTAAATTTTATAAATACGATTTAAGAATTATTACCATTTTCAAAAGTTAACAATATTTATTATCATTTAGTAAATTTTTATGCATATTTTTTATAATTATCTAATTATATACTAAAATATATTATTTAAATATTAGAGGATATTCAGCTGTTAATAATATTTTGTAAATGTTGAAGTTTTTTCATTTCTATGAACTTTATTTAATATTTTCCAATAATTTAAAATATTTTATTAAACTATATTTTTTTTATTATTAAATCAAACAAAATGTTTTAGATTTATTCTAAATATGATAAAAATACAAACAATTTTTTTTATTTCAGAACATGTAGTAAAAGTTTAATTTAATATATTTGAGTAGTTATTTGAGTAGTTTCAAATTAATTGACACACATAGTATATGAAATTAAATAATAAATAAATATGTTTGAATTAAAAAATTATAAGTTTTTACTTATAATTTTAACTTGATATAAATTGGATTTAATTCTATTAAATAATTATAATTTTCAAAAGAATTATAAAATAAAAATTACACTACTTTAGTAAGTATTATGTTATTAACATTTTTTACATAAAATGTTTAAATTTGTATCCAATTTTATTTATTTAATTTTTTAACAAGGTATAGAATTTTTTAATTCAAACTTTTAGAAAGAAATCCAAATCTTTGACATCATATAACCCTTCAATTTAATTACATATCAATAAAACCCTAATTAGCTGAAGTATGTGATTCAAAGGAAAAGAAGTAAGTAAGCAAATAAACATAGATTTGTTTCTCTCAAAAAATTGATAAGATAATTATAACGATCGTTAGTCCATTATTGTATTTCTCTGATTAATAAAAAACTTCGTACTATAGAATTAATTACAATTGAGATAATAATTCTAACTCTCTTTCAGTCAAGTTCATAACTTCCAAATCATTATCTTCAGATGCTCTAACTAGACTAATACTTTTTGCAGAATACATATTTGAAAAGCCATAGTTATGTAGGAATTGCACAATTCCCTGCATACAAATGCATTTACTGTATTATCAAAGTTTTCTAATAAATGATAAAAACTTCAACTAATTTATTGACAGCTACGAAACCACAGCAAATTGAAAATTAGCTAAGAATTTACAAGAATTATTGTAACAAAATTATATAAATAAGAACTACTTACTCAACTCTTAGCCCTGTTATATCGTCCGTACTTAAAATGAAAGGTTAATAAACTTCACTTTATTGCTGCTGAAAAGCTACACATTGACACTGTTTTCTTCCTGACTCAGTCTATTAAAAATAGCTTGACAATGGCAATTACAAGAAAAACATTGTATAAAAGATATCTGCAAATGGTAGCATAAATAAAAGTAATCTAAGAACATTATTATTAACAACTTGATTGAATTCCATTAAAAATATTAGACACTAAATAAGATGAAAGTATACAATTTATTAGATATTTAATATTTGATAGATGTGATAGTATGGCATTAAATAGTGTTCTCATGATAATGACGAAAAATTGAAGAAGCTGATAAGAAAATTTATAATATATAAATATCATAAATCTCAACTAGTATTATAAATCCTGAAATATTTTAAGAATGTAATAAATAAAGCAAGGAAAATATTGAGTTAGAGTAGTATAAATGAGTCCCAAAAAACTTTTATTTAATAAAAACGAATAACTCTACAATATACAAAAAACAATAGAATTATAAATATAAAAGCTAGAGTCTAACTTCGAAAAGAGTGCTAAAGCAATGATGGAGAAAGAAGATCAGTGCCAACAATAGTAAACATTTAAAGTAAAATAAGTTGGATTTTATCTTATATCACCAAAAAAAAAAAAAAACAGAAATAATCTAAAAAATAAAAATAAAAGTGGAAAAGTTCTCTGCTTTGCATCAATAATTTAAAAACAAATTTTCAATTCAAATATTCATACGTCAGACAAATTAATTTAAAATAATTTATTTATTTTATCTATTAATTGAATAATTAACTTGTCACTAATCACATAATGAATAATTCAGATAATGATGTTCCAGGATAGAAGTCTTTTTATATAATAGAGATATTAATTGTAATCATCTGTTTAAACAACTTTTTTTAAAATAAGTACAAAAGTAATCTATTTTTGTGGGATACATGATTAATATAATTATTTACCGAGATAAAATTTCATAAATTACATAATCAAAATCTCAAAAAATATTAAAATTATCTAAAAACATATACAAAATTAAACTGAACAATAAAAATATTATGATTCAACTTCTTATGAATTTCATTAAATAAATTCTTTAAATTTATTCTATTTATCCTAATAGTTATTATCAATATCCCATATAAATAAAATTTATAATAACGATTTAGTTATAACGTTAATAAAAAATTATACAATTAATCATTCTGCTTTTGATTATATTTTTGAATAAAAATATAATCTGGTACAAATTTATTTGGGAAATCATATTACTATTTAGTAAGTAATTTTCTTGCTTACTGGTTTTCCAACATTGTTCTTAAACTTGAATATTTTTAAAACATTGTCATCTTCATACATATTACATGTATAAAAAATATACAAAAATGATGTCAATAAGGTTATCTGTATTTTTTTTTTTTTTATTTAAATTAAAACAATCTAAACATAACATAAAGAGGTTAAATAAATTTGAAAAATTTAAATCTTTTTTAATATTTAATACTTACTTTGAAATAACTTTTTAATAAATGCAATTTCAACTCATATTTTTAATATGATGTATATAATGTAGTTGCTTAAGATTTATTTTTAAATTAAAGGATTTAATCTTTTATTCACATGAACTATTATATATTTAAGTTTTCTTTTAATTTTAATCAATTCACTTAATTTATTTTTAAAAAAGGGAAATGATCATTTGTGTATATTGTCGTGTGATATGTACTCGTCTAACTGTTCTTATATTTAGAAAATTACTAAAATAATAAATTGAATGGAAGCAACTTGAACCAATAAAACCTTTTGTGAATTATTTCTCAACAACGATAATTATGAAAAAAAAGCAATTCATATCAATAAATGATTATTTTCGAAAATTCAGAAATAAAATATAAATACCATTTAATAATTCCCATAGTTTCATAGATCCAAAAATTTCGACGTACAAATCGATCGATGTTGCAACGAACTTCAGAAGAAGCGTATTATACGCCGTGTATATCACTACGGTGTGTCATACTTAAATTTGTAAACTATGTATCGGTTGTGCGTGTAAGCAGTGACTCAGGCTACCTTACGTACCTCTACATCTACCTTCACTGGCCCCAGTTACCACAGGTTTCATTAGTTCCAATATCGAATCGAATTATTTTTGTATACAAATTATAACGCGGCCTTTCAGCTTATTGTATGTATCGTGCATTACAGTGACGTATAAAAAATTAAACTTAGTATAATTTATGATTATCAATTTTTTCTTTCAATTTACTCATTGTTTTGCAAATTATTAAAATGTGTGCGAAAATGGCTTTCCAGCACCAGGCTGGCACAGCGATGGAATGTCTTAGTGTAAGAAAATTCGCTATACAAAAAGTTACAGTAATGAATTTCGGCTGTTTTTGTTTTTTACTTTGCAGGATTTCTCGATCCTTTTCATTTTTTAATTAACAGTGAATATTAAACTGTAAAAATTAATAATCTAAAGTTATTTAATCCTCTAATTTATTATTATTTAGAATTTTTAAGGTTTATTTAAAATAAACTATATTATTATTTTTATTAACAATAATATATTATTAATAAATAAAATTCACTAATTATTTATTCCTAATATTTTTACATTCATTTTATAATGGAAAGTTTTTCAGTTGTATATAATTTATTTGTAATATTGTTTTTTTTAAGTATTTTATCAATATATTTTAACCTTAAAATGAATAATTCAGATTAAAACCTAATCTATTATTAATATTTTTTAATGATTATCTCTAATATTATAATAAACAATATCAAATTTAATTTTACAGACATGAAATGTTGTAATTATTAATTATTTTAATTTCAATTTTAGATTCCAATTACGCTTCATAAAGAGACGGAAATAAATACAAATGGTGAGGAAGTAATGAAGTGTGGTTTCAAAATAGGAGGTGGTATTGATCAAGATTACAAAAAAAGTCCTCAAGGTTACACAGACAATGTAATAAATAGTAATTTACAATATTTTAAACAAAAACCGATTAATTAAAAAGTTTATAAAATATAAAAATGAGTTCTATTTCATATAATTATATATTTTGAAGATTGTTTAAAATTATGTATTTCAATCTTAAAATTTGTAACACCAATATTTGCTCTTATTTTTTGTAGGGAATATATGTTACAGAAGTACATGAAGGATCTCCAGCAGCAAAAAGTGGTTTAAGAATGCACGATAAGATATTACAATGCAATGGCTATGATTTTACAATGGTGACTCATAAAAAAGCAGTTGGATATATTAGAAAACATCCAGTATTGAATCTTTTAGTAGCTCGCAAAGGAGTGACAAGTACTTAAAATAAATGCTAAGAAAGATGTGCTATTTTTATTAAGATAAATTTAATTGCAAAATTTTTATTTATATCACATTTACATATTTCTTTTATTTAATTATTTATTTCGTGATTATTTAAATTTTTTATATTAGAAATGAAGAATATATTAATTTCTAATGATGTATTCAAATAATAAATTCACATATGTTAAATAATATATTTATAAAAGGTTTTTCAAAATAAATACTTACAGTATTATAAATTTTAATACATTAAAATATACAAATAATAAATTGAGAAATATACAAATTAAGCATGAAAGGCACATCTTTCAAAACAAATAATATCCAAAGTATTATACACAACTGCAGTAATATCATTACTAAATGTGTGTACATGTATATAATGAATATTTAAAATCATAACCACCGAATGAAATGAAAATAGGAATTTTTAATAATAGCATTAACTAAATTATACTAATGTATTCAAAAAATTCCATCAATTATTCAATATATGTTAATTATTTCTATGGCCGTGAAAATATATTAAATTAATTTTAAATTTGATATATTATCTCTATAATCTGAAGTAAATTCAATTTATTTTCAATAAGTTTGTTTGAAAATATTTTAATTAGATATTTATGATAATAATATAATTATACATTTAACTTTTAAATATTAGAATTTTTTTCGTAAAAACTTTATCTTGGTCCTAATTATAAATGGCTCATGAAACAATGAATTTTAAGGCTATATTTTTTTAAATTAGAAATAAATGATTGGAATTTGAAATTAATATTCTATCACATAATGGAATTATGTGACCTAGTCTTTAAGATCAGAGGTAACAAAGTAGAAAGAAATAAGCAATAAAAAATACATTTTGCTATTGTTATATATTATATTTGTTTACAAACTATATGATACCATGTTATATATAGTGTAGCAATATTTATTTCTTTAAATATTTGTATTATAACTTGCAGTGATATGCAAAAATCATAGATCTACAAAAAAAAAGGTAAAACTATTATAAAATTTATACATTTTCAAAAGCCTATGTTTAATCAGTATCATAATAAATTACTGTTTTAATAAAAATTAAATAGAAATTTTATAATAGTTTCCTTATTCCCAAAGAATTGTACGAATATAAAATAAAAGATCAAAATCTTAAATTACATAACATTTTAACTTAATGTAGTTGTGCAGTTAAAATAATTGTATAATGCTTCATTAGAAAATTTGTACATCTATATTTTTTATGTATATTTCTATTTATTAATTTATTTGTATTTTTTAATATGCATAAAATAATTTTAATATACACTATAGAAACTCATATTTGCTTACAAATATAAATATAAAAATATTAACTTCAAAATATGTTGCTTTAACAATATTTTTATAAATTTTTTTTATAAAGTTGTTTGTATATGTAACATCAATATTCTAATTTATATAGTCGAATGTAACATTTTATGTAAACCGAAAATTATCATGTAAAGAGCAAATAAAGGATAATACTGTATGTTAATTTAGTTAATTTTGTAAAACTTATTTTATTCTTTGGTGATTTCATGAACTAATTTATTCATTTTTATAGGTAAAAACTTAACAAAATCTTTGCAAATATTAAGTTCTACTGACATGAGTTCAGCAGCTTTCAAGTCATTTTTGCAATAATTAACTACAAATGTATAGGCATCTAAGCTTTTCTTTGCATTATCAAATTGTAATTGTTTATTTGATGTAATACATTTGTTATATAGTCTACCTAAATGAAAATATGCACATAAAGCAGGTCTAAGTATATCTTCTGAAAATTTATTTTGACTAAATTCGTTTAAAGAATTTAAAAATTTTGTAAAGTTTTTAATAGCAGATTTAATTAAATTATTAATTCTAGTGATCATATGAAGTGTTGGCCTTTCATTAATTATTTTTAAATGATCCAATTTAATGTCTAAGATCTCAGAATATGTTTCTCCAAGTTCAATCCAAATTTGTTGACAAATAGATTTGTAATATTTCTCATTTAATTGATTCACTATATTTTCTAATAAATCAACTCTTCTTTTATGCATTTTAGCTTGTCGTGCATCATTTTCTTCAAAAAATGCGAGATACTTATAAAGTTGTGACATATCCTGAATAATTTGTACATGATCAGATGCTTGATTTTCTAAAGTAAAATATTTCTGTGCATTGTCAAGCCACTTTTGTACATTCAAAAAAACTCCCTTTGCATCATTAAAATCTAACAAATATTTGTCTGTAATCTTGTCAGCAATGGGTTTCAAATCATTCTCTATAATTTTAAAATTCAAACTATCAAGACATTCTTGGCTTATTTCAGATTTATCATCAGGCCTAATTTTAGTACTTTTTGGGATATATTTTTCTTCTCCATTTTCATTAATGAATATCAGACGTTCTCTTGACATACTCATAAGCAAAATACCATATTTTGCCCAACAACGATTAATATCAGCACTTCTATGTTTAAAATTCTCCCATTTAGATTCCAAAATTTCAATATCTTCTGTTGGTGTTTTCAGGCTTAAAAATAAATATATATAAATATTTGTAAGATATATCTCATTTTATTATGTAATATTTAGAATCAGTATTAAGTGAAAAAGCCTATACATCTTAATAAGAATATAAATATTATTATAAATGTTAATATATTGTTTATTATTTATATTTATTTTTATTGGGTTTCATGAAAATTAAAAATCTTAATTTAATGTACATTAAACTACAATTTTTTCCATGTATATAAAATGGAATATAAATGTAATTTATTTTTTAATTGCTAAATTAAATATTTACCTCATATTTTTTAAGGTACTTTCATACTTTTCTAGGATACATGTTGCAGCAGCAAGGTGATGTTTTGCCTGTCTAAAACCTCCCTTTTCCATGAAAAATTGAGATAATGTGGCAGCATTTAATGCCCAATCAATACTATCAAAATCATTCATTTCTAACTGCCTATTTAATGTCATATGGCAATAAATTGCAGATTTAATAAAATAATTTAAACTACCATATATTTGAGCTAAGTAATAAAGGGTTAATGTATGGTGTTTTTCAATAGCTTCTATTGGTGATGAATCCTTACAATCTTTGATACCAAATATATTAAACATACTGTAAATATTAAAATTACATCCTTTCAAACATTTATAATCTTTGAATTCCTTTTCAGCACATTCTAAATATTCCTTTGCTTTTGTTGCTTGATCCTGTTTAGACCATAATATACCTAATTGATTTAAAGCATTTATCATGAACAATATTGTATTTGATTTTATTTCCATTTTGTTTAATATACCAATACAATTTGTAAGATAATCTTGACCAGCCTTTAATTCTTCAGTTTCAATAGCAACTATACCTAGATTTAAATATACACAAGCAAGCATGGATGTCATTTCATCTTCTTGTGGCTTCATATTATCAATAAAATTAAGTAAAACAGTTTGCATATTTTTCAATATCTCCATAGCTGCATATTTACTTTTATAAGGTTCAGTGATAAGATCATTCAAACTATCTTCATCTATTAATTTTCTTACTATTATATATTTTTCTTTAAGTTCAGCCTTAATAACTTCAATAATAGTCTGATAATTTTCCATTATTTTATATTATTTTCTATTTGGCAAATACTCAAATCTACAATAGTAATTATCTATGTAAATATGTTACTAATTATTTAAAAAATAATTTGCATTAAATGTTTAAAGATATAGTTTTAATATTTTATTTTGGATATATATTTTTATATGCTATTTTAAATACAAGTAATGTTAAAATTTATATATTAATTAAAAAAAATATAAACATTAAAATTTTAATTTAAATTTCATTAAAATATAACCTATAAAGGAAGAAAATTTTTGTTTATTTTTTTCAAAAGATATCGATGTATTTATGTATTACTACAGTTTTCAAAGATTTTATATATCTTTTGTTAATTATTAATAATTTTCAATTTCGTATACTTTTGATGATTAATGTATTAACGATTAATTAAATGCTTACGTTCAATCTACACCATCAATCATAAAAATAACTTCCAAACTATATCAAACTGACATTAATACACGTGTAATTTATTACAGGAATTCTCTTGTAATACGATTTATCAGTCAGCTATCCCATTATACAAACTTCAATAGAATACGGGTATGAAAACAAATATTTAATAAAAGTAAATTTTTTTAATAAATAATTCATTAAAAAAATATAATTTAAATATTAATTTTTTATTAATATTAATACATATATTTTTTTAATACGAATAATATGAATATATTTATTTTATATAAATTTATTAAATTGTTATATTATTGATATTAAAATTATTTAATTTGATTTTAAAAATATGTCTATATTAAAATGAATTAAACTTGAATACTAATAATTATGAGTTTATTTAAATTGAATAAAATTTACTATTTTCATTAGATATACTTCTACCAAAATATTTATTCATAATTGCATAAACCAAATAATTAACTAATTTAAATAGATATGAATATTATGTTTTACTATGTAGTTATTTTAAATTTGGTTTTACTTGAAACATGCTTTACAATAAAATATTAAATAATATACAGTGTTTATAAAAAATCATTTTAATAGATGTTAAAAAGCTGTTTTACAAAACAACTAATATTCAAAGAAAAAAATTTTCCAAACATTAAATCCATTTTCTCCAAACTACAGTTTTAAAGTTAACTAACTGTATAATCTGAACAATGTTAGAATTACTATAATTAAATTTTTATGTAATTCATTCAATAATTCATTTTTGTTACTGATTTAAATTGTTAATTTAATTGAGTTAAATTGTTAAAGTTATTGAATTAAAATGTTTGTAATCTGTTTTAAATAAAATTTTCTTTTATATATATACGTTCTAGAACTCTTTAAATACTTTTTTTTAATTATATGTATTTATCATTAATAATGTTTAATAACAATTTTTTGACATTGCAAATGATTATATAACACAATATAAAAAATTAATAATTGAGTCGTTTTTATAAAAGAAAAATAAAAAAAATGTTAATCTGAATAGATAATAAATTAAAAAATATATATATATTTAAAAATAATATAAATATTCATTATATGTACTGACAATAATATAATTATTTTATAAATACTCAAGAATACTTCTTACAAGTCTTTCAAAATCGTATATATGGAATAAAAATTGTTTTAATCCTCTTTATTCTGTATTTCAATTAGTAAATCTAGTACAATTTTCAAATTTTCTTTGACTTTAATGAAGTTTTCTGTAATTCCAGATTGGTCTTCCCATATCAGATCTTCCACTTTTTTAATTACTGATTGAAGACACAATTTAACACTAACAAGTATAACTTTTTTCTGGGTATTTGAACAATTTGTTAAATAGCTCATGGATATTTCTGCTAATCTTAAACAAATACCAAGTACTTTGTTTACGTCTTCTACACTTTTAAACGATCTGTGATGACACATGAAAGAAATAAAAATTTTACTTTATTAAATTGAATAATATTCAGTTTATTTAAAGTATAATCAATAAAAACTAATTCGTAATTAAACAATAATTAAAATTTAATGAAATTTCATACGTTAAACTGAAATATTTATCATCAATAGTAAAATGTAATATGATGAATTTTTACCTCATCTTAAATATAAATAAATTTAATTATATATAATATTGATTCAATGATTAGTATAATTAGTCAATAGTTAGAATATAATAAATACAGATACAAAATTATAGTATTCGATTAGTTCACAAATAATTATATGATATTAAAAATATTTGAACTCTCATTTATAAGCATAAATATTTCGATAGTTATTTTCAAATTCAATGCAATGTCATTAATCAATAAAACTGTTTATACCTAGGATTAGAAATAGCTGCTCCATATGCTCGTTGAAAATATTGAATCGCCTTCTGATATTCCATGCCATTATTTTTCAATACAGTAAGTTCAGCATATAATATCCAGATATCTGAATTGTTTGAAATTGAAGCAGTTAATCGGCCAAAAAGTTCCAGAGTATTTTTTAAATATTTTCTTGATGGATTTTCATAGAAGTCTTTCACATTGTTAATTATAGCTTTTGATAAAATACTAAGAATTTCAATATCTACATAGACTCCTTTTAAATCCATAATACGATGGTAGCAATGAATTACCTAAAAATTTCATAATAATTTCGAATATTAATGAATTCTTTGAAATAATATACAACTAAATTGTTATTTTAATTTAATACCAACGATAATTTTTTATCCAAAAAAGTATCTATTATTAGTTATTAGATAATTGTTTCTATAACACTTTTTAAAGATTTAGTAGTAAAAAGTCATCAAAATATTGTTAGTTAAATTTTACTTACTTCTGAAAAATGACCTAAGTCAATGCTAACAACCATCAAATTACCCCATACTTCCCATTTATTAAAGTTACATTTAATTGCATCTTGCAAAGAATACCAAGCTCTTCGTTTATCTCCCAATTTGATATATACTTTTGCTAAATTATTCCATACTTCAAAATTCTGAAATGTTAATTATATTTCTCATTAAAACATTTCTTTTCACGATTTCATCTAATATAGAAATAATAATAGATATAAACCGATTGTTCTAAGACACAGTATTTTCTATAAGCCGAAGCTGCAACTTTCCAATCTTTTATTTGCATAGCAGCAAAACCAAGTCTTTCCAAAACACTCTCTTGAATATTGTTTAGTTCTATTGACAGTTTTAGATGTACTACTGATTCTTTATACTATTGATAATAAAAATTCTTGTAAATATTATTTTCTACTAAAAATAAATTTTATCCAAAAAGTAATTAAGTGCTTACATTTTTTTTTGAATAATAATAAAGACCCCAATGTCGCTGCGCACGACTACTTTTTTCACCCGAAAGTTTCCATGCTGTTTCATAATATTCAACTTTTTCTGTTACATCACCTAATAAACACCATAGCTTTACAGTGGGTTTTTTAGATAATTCTTGTTGTATAATTTCAGCTGCCTGAAAAATAATTGTAACATAATTTATAAATTACAATTGTACATGTTATAATTTTATGAATTTAAATTCCATTTTAATTATTACAGTCGCATTGTTTGCTATTTACAAATAAATATAATTAATTCAAATTATATAAGGAAACAGAATTTCTATATTATGTTTGTGAAACATTTTTGTTATTTATATATTTTATATACCTTGTATTTTTTTTCTAAAATTGTATAACAAATAATTACATCCTCCCATAAAGAAAGACTTAAATAATGATCTAGTGCTCCTTTAACCATTCCAAGATTTAACATCATATTTGCTAAATGTTTTTTAAATAACCATATTGGATTCATTCCACTTGCAAAAAATAAATCCAATCTAAAAGAGATAAATGTTTTTGATATATTTAATTGATCGATTAAATACTCTATTTGTGATAAAGAACGTTCTATAGTTCTTTTATTATTGGATTCCAAAATACAACGTTGAAATAATGCTGACATTCTTAAAGACCAATTTTTTGTATTATCGATTACATTCTGAAATAAACATTTTTGTATAAATCACTTAGTGATAAAAATAAAAATTATTTAAACAAAATAATGACTACATTTAAATAAGGTATGATTTCTTCATCTGTCAGTTGGTCATTTGGTTGAGATAATTTCAGCTGAAAACTAAATAAAAAATTTGTATTTATATACTACAAAACCAATGTAATATTATTTTAAATAAATATATTTACAATTTTGTCATGATAATTGCTTCTTCGATACAGCCAAGTTCAACATTTTTTCTTTCAATTAAAAATTCTACTTTTTCCAAACGTAAATCATCACTTAAATTTATCACCTTCGGTAATATCTCACATACTCTGTGAGGAAAAAGGTCCTTATCAACTTTAGCATTTAAGTATAATTGTGGTTTTGCTTGTTGTTGATATTTTGTACGTTTTCCTAATGCACCTTCAAGATCAAAGCTTAATTTTGCTACTGCTCTAGCATCTTCTAAATAAATTTCTGAACTTTGAATTCTTCTATAATAAAAATAAAATTGTGCCACTTCAATATTAAACAATGTTCGAAGAGAATCGTTATTTATTAAATTAGATATAGATATTTGTTTAATTAAATTTTCTGATTTATTAAATAGATTTTCAGATGCTTCTTCTAAAATTAACTGATGAATGTGATTCACTCTAAATAACCACCACAAAGAGCTAGGTAAATGTTTATGAAGCTGATCATTATTTAATATTATTTTAGCAAAATAAAGTAATTCGGATTTAGAAACATTTTCATTAAATTGGTCATGAAAAGATAAATATGTCGATGCTCTTCTTCTAAGTCTTAATAAACTATCAATATCTTCTTTTTTAAAGGGTCCAGTCCAGTTACTTTGAATAAAGTATAAAAATGAGGCGACACTAATATAAAACCAATTTTTACAATTATCATTATTTATGGAAATATTTTCTTCAATATTTTCATCAATTAAATTTAAAATTATAGACGAAAAAAATTCATTCTTGAGTACTACTTCATATTCACCATTTAATATTTCTTTTACATATGGAGATACATCAGTTTCACCTATCATAAAAACCAAACATATAAAAATTTACTAATTGAAATAAATAAAATTACTTACTATCTGGTATTGGAATATTTATTAGTAAATACTGTTCAAACTTTTGAATTTCATTCATTATATTGCTTTATGATTCAAACAATTGAATTTAAAAAATTAAATTTTCAATATTAAACCTTCGAAATTAAATCTGTATCTATAAGCACGTTTTCAAATTCATGTCAAACATTACTTACATAACCTAATCATAAGAAAATAAGATTCATTCGCATTATTTTCTTTTAATATACAGATTAATAGTACTTTCTAATAATAAATTTTTGGATATTCAAGTATTTAATAATTTACAAATCTTAAAATGTTATCAAATATATGTACATTTTAAAAGTATTTTAAGAATAAAAATATATTTTATTTATAAATTTGTAATAATAATTGATAATTCATTTTTATTAAAAATATTGTTATAATTTCTTAACGTGGACACATAACACTTCGGCCACCATCAACAGCTAAAGTTTGACCAGTAATGAAACTAGCATCGTCACTAGCTAAAAATACAATTGTTTTAGCTACTTCATCTGAACTTCCAGGACGTCCAAGTGCATGGGTAGTTTTACTATGATCAAAGAATGCTTTTAATTTTTCTTCATTCATACCACTATTTCTATGCAAATTTGTTATAATTACACCTGGATTTACAGCATTTACACGTACCTACAAAAATAATAATGTATATTGAAATTTTATGATATTAATATGTTATAAAATGAGTATTAAAATACTATTAAAGATTAATATAATTTTTATTTTATTGTTTTACTTTTAAGGAATTTTCTTATAATTAACATTTTATGATTAAAAATTTAATTTACATTGCTATTATAAGTCAATTTATTTTTATTTGAAATTTTGTAGTAGGTAATTGAATAAATTTTATAAAATTAAGTACTTGTTTATCAGCTAATTCTAATGCAACACATCGAGTAAATTGATCAATTGCAGATTTACTCATACAATAAGATAAAACTCCAGGGAAAGCTCTAGTTCCTGCTACGCTTGATACATTTACTATATTTCCTTTAGTTTTTATTAAATATGGTACAGCCAACATTGTTAAATAATAAATAGATTTGACATTAACATCGAAAATTCTAAAATATAAAATGTTTTATTTTCAGCTGCTTTAAATAAGATATATATATTTGAATTATTGAATTAATATTTCCTTAATACATTTTATTTATTTTATGTAATTTATACCTGTTATATATTATATTTTAAATAATTTATATTATATTTTAAAAATTTATAATATTGGACAAAAATTTTAATGATGCTAAAATTAAATAGAATATCTAATTTTAACAACCAAGTAAATATGTTTAATTAATTTTTTATTTTATAATAAATAAACTATAAAAAATATGCCTTTACCTATTATATTGTTCTAAGCTAGTATTCTGGATAGTACCTGACTCCAAAATTCCAGCATTATTTATCAAAACATCAAGTTTACCATATTTTTGTATAGTAAAATCAAGAATATTTTTCACATCAATTTCATTGGTCATCTCACCAGTAACAATATATGGCTTAGGTTCTTTGCATTGTTCAACAACTTTTTGCAAATTCTGAATATTGCGTCCATGAAGGGAAAGTAAAGCACCTAATTGTGAAAAATACACAGCTGTTGTTGCACCAATGCCAGAACTAGCACCTGTGATTAAAACAACTTTCCCCACAAATGACATTATATTACTTTTGTTCTTCTTTCAAATAATCTATTTTGAATAAAAAAATATATAATTAACTAATAAGAATTCATAACCTAAATTATATTAATAAAATATAGATCAATAAATAATAAAATGTAACATTTGTGATATATCCTTTATCATCCATAGAACAATGCGAATTAGATATATAAATTTATAATAGATAAAATGAAAAATAATCTCAGATGAGTAGCAAATATATTTTATTACTTAACATATAATTCTACAAGATTTTTATTTTACAGTAAGTTTATTGCGTTAATCTATATCCATAGTTATTTAAAAATACTATATTTAAATAATACGATGTTAGTTCGTGTTAAAAATATAAAAAGAATTTGTGAATATTTATTTATCAATTTCATAAAGAGATTCATATATACATTTATTATATCATTATAAATATTATAAATATAATTATATATACATACATAATGACTTCTAATCTTCTAATCTTCGAACTATACAATAACCCTAAAACATAAAAATTTAATATTTAAATAAAAAATATTCATAAGTATTAAAATCTAATTAAATTCTAATTTATTACTATATTTTAAACTAAAAAATAAAAAGTTTATACTAAACTCTTGAGATGTACAATACATAGATTGAAATATATTATATTAAGAAAATAAATTAACATTTATAAAAGATAATAAATAAATATAATAAAAATACTAAATAAATAGATATAATAAAAATAAAATTATTTATGAAAATATTGATACAATTTTAATTTAGAAATCTAATATAAATTCTATAAAAAATATAAAAGACTATGTCTTTTATATTATTATGCTATTTATACTATTTTGCAAAACAATGTTTATTTTAAATAAAAAATATATTATCTAATATTAAATAGTAATAAACTATAAAAATGTCACTGTTATAGAATGTTAAATCAGAAATAAAAATAAAAATAAAAAAAAGGAATAAAAAGATATTGGAAGAACTTTGGTCCAGCAAAAAAATTATTCAGCTTTAAATATATTATATTGTATATTTTAACATTTTATTTTATTTTCTATTCAAATATTAGATTTTTTTTTTTTAATAATTATTGATAAAAGTTACAATAGCTTTTATTAATGTAGATATAAAAAATAGTCAAATAAATATAGTGTATTCATGTAAGCTTTGTAGAATGGAATAAATAACAGAAATAATTTATACATAACAATTTCATTTAAAAAAAATTTTTTTAATTTTCTACTCTTAACTACATTAATAGATAATATATTGTTTTCTATTATTTCTTTTCGTAATCTGACTTATTAAAATGCTTCATATTAAATATTTTGAAATAACTATTCTTTTCATTATAAATAAACACGCAAAATTAAAACAAAGCTATAAATTTTATATAAAAAAATATTTTATAATGTAAGAGAAAAGATTATATTTAATATATTTAATTGAATAAAAAAATAATATTAATATTAATGTTTAATTGTAATATATAAAACAAACGCATTTATATTGTCCTATATTAATATATTTAACAAAAATTTTTTAAATATCAATTTCAATATAAACTTAAAAAATACGTAAATTATTTAAAATTTTCTAATATTTACAAAGGAAGAAATATTTTATAATCATTTCTTTAAGTAATATGTCGCTATTCTTAGTAGATGTTTGAGCTATAGAATTCTATAATGCCCGCATTTATAAGAGCCAATACATTTAGAGATGCATCACGCATGTTTCTATTTGGTGCACCATTTATTTTTCGTAAACTTTGACTACGGTGCTGTAGTAGTATTGTATTTTGTATTTTTTTTATCTCACAGATTATATTTACTAGTGAAAAAAATTGCCTTATTAATATATATTAAACTAATTTTAAAATGAATTTATTTAACAGTAAGTAAATTTATACAAGTATTTTGTATGTGTAATTAATTTGATAATTTAAATTGAAAATTTTTTTCAGGATTTATTTTGAGAATAAAAAAATCAACAAATTTACGAAATACAAGTAGTTTTGCTGAAACTATGGAACTTTCAGACGAAATTTTACCATCAATTTATACAAGAGAAACCGATCCAGTTTATCATAATGAAAGTCATTTGAATAAACTTTATAATATACCGTCAAAGGACTGCGCCACTATATTAAGTCATGGTTTAATGAATCAGTATAAAATACAATTAAAAATCTTTAATGAAATGTCCATTCTAATTAGAAAACCTTCGATTGAACTTTTAAGTTATTTATCAAAATCAGATTATGCTAAACCTGTTAATAAGTATGTTATTTGTATCCTTTTTTTATTGATGCATATTTAATTTTTTAAGTACCCATAACTGTTATAATTTTTATTATATATGAAAACCTGAATTGATAATTTAGATGGTGAATGTGGAAGTGGTAAATCAACACTTTTATATCATTTATTACATTATGGTTATAATACAAACAAAATCATTGTATATGTTAATCATGGTAAAATTTATTATATTTATAATTAAATTAGAATATAAAAATAAATGTATATATATAAGTTATAAATAATTTATTTTTTAGCACAATATTGGTTTACAAAGCCTAAAGAAATTAAATATTCTGAAATAGAACGTAATATTATAGATTTACCAATTGATACAAGAATATGGCTTGATAAATTTAAATTATTAAACAATCATATTCTTTGTCAAGCAAATGTAAGCCAATCTTATATTTTTTAATTTTATGTTGTATATGTACAATTCTAAGCTATTTAAGATTTTATAGAATATTAATTTTCAGATAAAATTATCCAAAAGCTATAAATGGGGTACAGGTGCAAATTTTCCAAAAGATTCATCATTAATTGATTTGATTAATTTTGGAATTGATCAAACAAGATATGCTAGTGAAATTGTAGCTGCCTTAGTTAATGAACTAAAACAAGCTAGTAGAATAGGGTTGTGTAATGTTTTGGTGTTAATTGATAACTACAACATTTTTTTTTCTCATTATACTCAAATTAAAAATAGTCTTAAGAAGTTTGCATTAACTTCTGAATTTAGTTTAACACAAAATTTTCTAGAAATCACAAAATCTGATTGGTGTAATGGACAAATTATTGTTACGGTTGATACTGCAGTTAATAAGGTAAATAGATAATAATCAAATGTTAACATAAATTAATAGAATTAACAATTTAAAAAAATATATTTATATTTGGAACAAAAATCTTTTTCTTTATTAAAATTTTAAATGATAATTATAATTATTCTTATATATATAGGATAGACAAGAATCTCATCTACCTCGTTACTTACTAACAAAAGAAGGTTTCGAACATTTAGATCCATTTTTACCAATAAATGTTGAAAATTATTCTGAAGATGAATTTTATACAATGATTGATTATTATAAGCATAAGAAATTGATTAGAAGTTTAACTTCCAATGGTGAAAAAGAATTAAAATTGTTATCTGGTTATAATCCTTATAAACTCATGGATTTGTGCAAGCATTTATAATAAAATATAAAATTTAATACATAATAATATATTTAATACTAAAATTATTCTAACTATTGTTCATCTTTTTATTAATAACTTAATAATAATTATTATTAATAATAATTAATAACTATTCTTATCGTTTAAACACTTATTCTGCAAATATATAATCTATCTTATATTACTTGTAAACCAATTTTTTGAAAATGTAAGTTTATAAAATATTTTAAATTTAATTTTCATTTCAATATTTAAAGATTTAAAGATTTAAAGTAAAATTAGTTTTATTATTATTTCTCTATAATATAAATAATATTAAAAATATAAATTATACAAGATATTTTATAATTTTCATTGTATATTTGATTAAAATAAATTTTATTTATAATCTGCTATTACCTTGTATTTAGTACTGAATTTTTTTTTAATTTTATTTTTCAATGTTTTAAAAAATTACCAATTTATTCATAAATCCAAGTATTGAAAAATGTTAATAGTAATATTAGGTATATCCTTCAAGAGAAGTTTTGGTTGTATTCTAGTAGCATAAATATACTTAATCTTTATCTCAATTATTTATCTTTGGATTAAATTCTCTATTTTTATCTGCTATATTTAATTTATATAATTTTATTAAATAACTTTTAACACTTTTTTAAGAATCTTTGTTGTGATTTTTATTTATATCACATACATTATTTGAATAGTTTTTAATAAAAATATAAATTACATATTTAATTATATAAATAAGTTTAGATAATATTTCAAAACTTTAAAAAACTTATAATGTAAATTAACCTGTTAACTTTGAAAGTAATTAATTTTTAAATAAACTAGTAAACTAAATTGTATTTTTGAATTTGAAAATTTTATAATATAAATATTCAAAAAGTAAGTCAACAAATATTGATGTACTGGGAATTAAATGCTTCGTTATTAATTGTACTACTAATTTTTATTATAAAAAATTATGAATTTGAATTTAATTTTAAATTTAATCTTATTAAATCTTACATTTGGATTGCTTACTTTTATATATAAGAACCTTTTTTTTATTTTCATGAATTATTCAATTGCTTTTAAAATATATGCTGAAAATATTTTGTTTTTCTTCATATAGTTGAGAATACATATTCAAATACAATTCTAGTAATTTATTGTTAAACTGCATCGACATTCGCGTTGCCCCTTTTATTATCTGTTCTTTTGCTTTTATGTGGTTATAACAATTTACGATAACTTAATTTATTTTTATGATAAAATATAAAAAGCTATTTTTAAAAAATACGTCTACATTAAAAAATTTGAATAACATTTCAGTAAAAAATTGATCTCTTCTTAAAATGAATAGAAAATGAATAAAGTTTAGGTTTTATTATTTTTATTTTTTCCATTTATTTTCATTGTCAGGTTCATCTTCATTTAAGGTATTGTTCAACATACGGTTCTTTTAAGAACACGCTTCATTCTAAATATAAAAATAGATATTATTAACAATTTCAATTAAATTCGATTGTGATTATGAAAGCATCCTTTACCTCATTAAAGTGAAATAGTAAAAATATTAATAAATAATTAATATTATTATATTTATATTATATTAGATTTCTGATACTGCTTTAATGTATTAATTTATGTAATTTACGAAATAATTTGAGCCAATTAGCTTAAAAAACTTGTATTTATAACATTTTTTTTTAATAGACGTAGTAGGTTTATATAAAAATAAATTAATTACATACTAAATTAAATTTTGTCATCAATTACATATACACTTACTAAATATTCTTTTATTAAATCTGCCTCTTTTTTGCACTGTATGTACGTTGCATAGAATAAAGAATTTACGATTAAAAAAATAATTTTAAATATACTTTATAATTTACAATTGCTTTTTACAATTAAAACTGTATTGTAATTAGAATAGATGTTGATTCTTTTTCTAAAAATTTACTTTTTTGACATAACTATTTTGCATTCTATTTCATTAAAATTTTAGTTAAATAATTCACCAAACATAACAAAACATTTGCGAAAATTCTGTATTGGAAATTTTAAGTTTTAAAAATTAATCATCGAGCATCGAAATTTTGAAATTACTTTATATAGAAATTTCTACAAATCCTCTATATTTTAGTGGATATATAAAATAAACAGAAAGTGATAAATATTGAAAAATGATATATTATACGTTTAACAATTTTAAGAATTATCAAAGAATGTTAATATAAATTACTTATTTCATATTGAAAACAAAGTTAAAATCAAAATTATACAACTTAAATAATACAAACAATATTTGAAAAATTTCCAATTTTAAATTGATTTTTTAATATTAATATACAAGTAAAACAACAATGAATGGAACAATTTAAATAACTACAATAATATCTTTTAATGAGTAAAATGAATTAAATAAAATATTCTTTGATTTATTGATAAATAATAGAAAGTCTAAAATCTGTAGCTTTTCATAAAAAATGTTTTGAAATTTTTTCTTGATTCATTTAAATTTGATAATGAGAGATAAAAAATATTGCCTATAAAATTGTTGTAACTAAATACATTTTATACCTTTATTTTATCATAATATTTTCAATCAATAAACCAAAACGTTTGAAACAAAATTTTAATCCTAAGATTTACAAATAATGGCGAATCTTCGATTAGTCAATCCTGACGTGTATTTCAGGCGAATAAAAAATATTTCGTTACTATAAGCAAGTATTTCAGTATTGTATCCTACAAAAATACGTTAACTAATAGTTATCTATTATAGCATTTTTTATCTATATGATTTATGAGTCTATATTTACAGTATAGATGGATTCAAAATTAGAATAACGGTAATAAAAGAATGCAAAGTTTGCTTTCAGGAACACGTTTAACACTAATTAAAATTAACTAATGATCTAAGCCCTATTGTAATACACAATGTGGAATTAACAATTAAATAAAAGAAGATATATATATAACGAACGGAGATACAATTTGCAATATTTTTTTTTAAATAACTTTGTCAACCAAATTAGTACAATATATAGTAAATTTTAGCTCATTAATTAAATAAGAATCAATAAATAGAACTAACAATGCTATTCATAATTATATTACATGCATTTATTATAATTATATATTATTAATAAATTTAATGGATTGTAAATATTAACAAATATTCGGAAAAAATACAAATTTAATATCAATAACATCGTTCAATTATATAAAATAATTCTATATTATATATTATACTTATTTATATAAAATATTTGTGCAATTTATAATTTTTAAAATAATAAGAATAATTAAATATTTTATTTTATTATTTTTATATATTTAACAAATTACAACATAATTAGCCAAAAGTTTATTTTATGTTACATTCTTTTTTTTTATTAAAAATATATGATATATTTATTTAGGAAACAAAAATTATTTTCAAATCATTTTTATTACAACTGCATTATTTTATTATAGTCTAGAAAAAATCTAAATGTTATTCATGTATAAATACAATTTTATTTCAATCTATTTCGTCTATATATCTATGTGTGGCTATACGTTTCAGATTGAATATTACAAAATTGTTTTATATATAAAAAAATATGTTATCTAAAATTAAATTACCAATAGAGTTACTGTAAAAGTAATGCTATTCATCTGTACATTCTATAGCTTTTATGTTTATTTGGTAGAAAAATGGAATATTGCTTGAACTAAGCATATTATATTTATATATATATATGTATATGTATATATATATATATATATATATATATATAGATAGATTTAAAATCGTTAAAAGATCTGAAACATAAGTTAGTCAGTTGCAATTATTTATTTCATCACTACATGTTACTTAGCCAAGGAAATGAACAAGTTTCATTTACTAATCTGCTGCTCGTTATCTATCTATAAAAAAATAAAACAAACTTTTTCCAACCATTTTCTCAGTAAATTTTTAATTTAATACGCAATAAATATTTCATATATAAAATAAATCGTAAATTTTTTAAAAATAATTTAAAAAAATTAATTTTGCTAATTGCATATAAAAGTCTATTTTGTCAATTTAAAAATTTTATTTAATATATGTATATAAACATCTAATTTCTTACGTTTCCACTACTACATTGTTACAATATAGTTACATAATTATTTTTTATTTTTTAAATGACCAAAATAAAATAAAAAATTAAATTAAAATAGATTTTGATGTTACAATAAATATGTTATCTTATCAGTAGTTTCGTGATTCATACCTCGTTGATACAGTTGAATAATAAATTTTTTTTAATGAATAAAGCAAAGTACAAATTGATAGTATACATTTAATGATGTTGAAGTACAGATTTTATTATTTTAATAGTAGGTTATAATATATATTTGTTTATATTATATCAAAATATTTCAACTATTAATAATTTATTTATTTTATATAAGATGTAAATTACAATTTTAAGAATTTGATGCAATTCGAAGAACATCCTTTCCTAGAAGTTGAATAGTTTGTTTAACTTATTCATCTAATACTTTACTTGTAATTTTAAATAAATGATAGATTTCTTTTTTTTATGTAGTTAAAGTGAAAGTAGATAAATATTATCAATAACTATTGACTTACCTCTAATAAAATTTTGTAATTACCTATTTACTAAACCAGTAAAAAAAATTAAGAACATTTTTCAGTATTTTATCAATGCAAGAATCTATATTTATGTTGTAATTTGTAATGTCACTGGAAAATACCTTATGCAATTTAATAATAAAAAACATTTATATTCTACTTATAATAAATTATACTTATATTTATATTATATTATCTAAAAACAAATTATACATATATTATTTTTGTTTAGACCATACTTATATCAAAATTATTATTTTATTCAGTTTTGTTTATTATAATAATAATTTTAATATTCTATTATTTTAAAAATTTCACACAATATATAGATTTGTAACAATATAATTAATTATCTAATCATATTTTATAAATTATGGTGGAATGTATTTTGTCCATAATATGAGTATTATTTACATTGATACATCTCTTCCCTGATGAGTTTTACCATTATTGCAATTTCCATTCGTTTGTTTTTTATTGTTTGAATAAGAGTGTATACAAATGAATAAAAATAGGTGAGACAATTAAATAATATACTTAAAGTATTACTAATGTATGTAAATCTACAATAAAAAATAAATATTAATATTCTTATTTAATACATTTACATTGATACTGGATTAATTATATTACAATTGAACACATTTACCTCTACTAAAATTAAAAACTGAAAAATTATAGAACAAATATGAAAAATACTATTTTATATTATTTATACTTCACAAATTGTATAAACACGGATGCAACACAAATTTTTTATAATGTAAAATAGAGGAAACCATGAGAAAATGGTATATCGACTCAAATTCTTAGATTGAAACTCAGTTATGATTTAATTAAAATATTAAATTTAAATCAGCCTTAAATTATATTTTATATAAATAATATTTTATATAAATTAAATTATATATAAATAAAATATAAATATATATATAAATATAAAATATATAAAAAAAAACAAATTATTTTACAGAAATAAATAAAAAAATTTTAATTTACTACTTTCAATGCGCACTCTGTAGGTAATCATTGGAATTGTATGTTTAAATTGTACGGTTTAAAAAATATTATTTTACTAACCTTCATTATAGTACTTGACAAACTTAATATAATAATTTTATACATTTCAAATAAGTATACCGCTTTATAATAAGTTTAAGAAATGTCAAATTCACCTAATCAATCAACCCAATTTGTTCCTATTAATGGTAAAAAAACATATTTTTGTTATTTATTGTTCATTATTTTTAATTAAATGGTTAATGTTCTTTAAAAGAATTTTATAATGGCTTAAAACATTTGTATAGTATATTTATATAATACAATTAAATCGATCAATTTATTATTTAATTAATAACATTTTATAACAAAAAATATAATAAAAAATTAGAACTAGTCCCACATAGTTACAATTAAAAAAAGTATTGAGATTAATATAGTATAAATTATAAATTTGATGTTTTTTGTTGAATAAATTGATTTTTTATTAAATCAGTATTATCAAGATTGAAAATATCCCCAGGAAAAAATCTTACAGGTAATGTAAGAATTGTTCGTGACTTAGCAACTGACATACATTCCAGTATTCAACAATGGAATGTAATTCATTTAAACGGTATTATTATTCTCAAAAATATTGCAAATATAAAAATTGATAAAACCTATCCTGAAGAATTAAAAGGTCTATGTGAAGATTTAGGAAAAATCTGTGATGAATCAGCAAGTAACGTAAAAATGTGAAATATACATTTCCCATTGTTTATTAGAATTAAAATTATGTATGTTTTAGGATAAAATTGTTGATAATCTAAAACTATTGGCTAATAAAATGAAGGCAATTTCTGATTTATATAAAAGAACTGATAATTTATTTACAACATGGCCAGTCAAAAAATTTGGTAAATATTAAATTGTTTAAATAAATTTAATTTGTTATATATTACTTATACATTTATTTTATTTTGGGGCTGAAATTATATTTTTTATATAAAATATGTTACTTGCAAACCTTTAAAAGTTGTTGCTTGTAATTGAATTTCATTTGAATCATGATTTTCTAATTTGTAAAAACATTTATTAAAATTTTTGATCATAAATAAATTATAATTATAGTATATTATAAAGATCGTATGTTGTATTTACTTAACAAATTACAAAATATTCTAGTTTCTACATCAGAAAAAATATATCAAGTTTATCAAAAGGAAGCAATAGTAAAAAGAATTATTTCAGAAGACATGGCACATGATTATAGAGATTCTTGGAAAATCTTACATCTTGCAGCATGGGTACATCAAACACAAATATCTGATAATGTAAAAACTATTTTGGAATCAATGCTCATTGAAACTAAATTAAGATGAGGTACTTGTAAATATTTAAATATCATATTTCTTTTGAAAACAGAGAAAAGAATATTTTACAGAAATTATTACATAAATTATATTGGAACACCAATTAATTAAAATAGCTTAAAATCGATCTTGTCAAAAATATGCATTCAAATTTATATACATTTTTGAGATTTTTAAGGAAAGATAAATAATTATTTTAATAAAATAAAGAACTCATGCAAAATTTGCAATATTCAAAATATATTAGAAAATACTAGGTATACTAGGTTTTTTTAGTTTACATTTATTTTAAATATATTATGTAATGTATTGAATTGTGAACTGAAAATTTAATTTTCTTTTAAATGCTGTAAATCATATTTGCTATTTATTTTTCTTTAGTCATTAATATAATTTTAATAAATGAGATATGTTATTCTTATTGACACTGTACATCCACAAAAATGAAAGTTACACAAAGATTTGTTTTTTCTTTAGAATTGTATTGATTATTTAAGCGTTATGTTTATGTATTTACTATTTTTAACTTCATACATTATTAGAAGATACTGAATATTATGTTTCATTTATATTGCAATGAACAATAATAATCAATAGCATTAGTTATTGTAATAATTAGACTCCTATAATAAAATGTCGTTCATTTCTTACACTTTTGAATGTACAAGAATTATATATTTACAATAACTTATATGTTTGACATCTTGCATTTAGGACAAATAATTAACATACGAAAATGTAATAATTCTATTTTAATTTATAAAAATTCTTAATAATTTTGAAACACTTAATGTAGACTAGAGTATCTCTTTATTTTTAAAGAGCTTTTTTTAATGGAACTTATTATATACTTAGGTTTCAACGAACTTTTTAAGTATACCAGAATGTTTCTGTACAAGACGCCAACTATTTATTAACATACAAGAATCTTGGATCCGTCAATTTACATTAAAAATATAATTGCCCCTGAAAACATGAATTTCAGTCATGTAGGCTCATACGCTTCATTAATAAAATACTAATTGTGTAAGATAGGATTAAATATTCAATAAAAATAATCTTTTCACTTGCACAATTTCGTAATAAAATATCTAATATTTCTTTGTACACTATATATATTACACGAAAATTGATCTTGGAAGGTTAAGTTAATGCTACTTGAAATTATAAAATTAATTATGTTATCTTTTTTGTAAAATTTACATTTTAAACAATGAAAATGCAAATACTTTTGTTCTAAAAAATAAATATATAATTTTTAATTATTAACCATTAATTACCTTCTAATAAAGTTATTTTTAATACAAAATTAAGAAAAATTTTTTTTAATATTTACCAAAATGTATTTAATATTATTATAATTGTTATAAAATTAAAAATAAAATTTAAAACTTCAAAATATATTGATATAAAGAAAGTATTTTTTTGTAAAATCATATATTTATATGTTAATTTCTTAGAACAATAAGTATACAAATAAATTTGACACGATTCTATAAATTCTAAATTTAATTTTTTACTTTTGCTTAGCTACGGAAAAATAATCTCGTTCCCATTAACTTTACCTCTTTTAAGTAAAAAGAACATTTAAACCTCTTTATCAACTTCTAGTATTTCTATTGAATTCTTCGCTCAGTTCTTCAAAATCAAGTTCTGTAACTAAATTTCCATTTCCATGTAATAAATTACTTTCTAATAAATTATCTGGTATCATAGTCTTCAGTCTTTCAGAAACTATTTCATCTACCATATTGGAATTATCAGCTAGTTCCATGTGCTCTACAAATTTATCATCAATCATAAGATTTTTGTCCATAACGCCAGTATTATCGAGAATATCTAAATGTCCGATATCATAACTCGTAATTTTTGTTATGTCTAAATTATTAGATGTTTCAAAAATATTAGATTCGATATTGTTGTTGTTACTATTCGTTGTTATCTGAACAGAATTCTCGTCAACTTCAACGACGCTATTATTATTGATCACTTTTAAATCTTCATTATCAAGTACTGTCATTGTTGATGCTTTTGGTACTAATTTCCTAAAACCTTTGTTATTATTAAAAGTATCTGAAACACCACTGGATACGTAATGAAAACCATTACTCTGTATTTTTCCAAATCCTTCAATTTCCTGACGAAACGCTCCAAATATTCCATTTTCTAATACAGAAAAAGATTCTTAATTGTTTACTTTCTCTAATTAATTTTCTTCATTAATTCACATAATTAATAAATATAAATAATTTTGTTATTATAAGTTATTAGGAATTAATGTATATTTTATTAAATTTGAAATATTATTAAATGACGAATCAAATATAATATCAAATTACTTTAAATACTCATAATAATCAAATAAACTTAAATTAGTTTCTTACCCAATTTTATAAATCCTTCTTCGGTTGGTTCCAATTTTATAAATGCTCTTGGCAGGTTATCTACTTTGGTTTGGTCATAATTACCATTCAATTTTGTAAAAACATCTGTACAACTGGAGTCCAAATTCTCTCCCAATTTAGTGAAGGTAACTTCATTCATAAAACTGGAATTTGGAGTTGACGAAATGTTAATATTTAATTTCTGGAACCCAGGGTTATCTGTAGTTTCAACTTCAGCTCCTGAAGTTAAAACTTTTGAAACATCATTTACTGGACTTGAATTATTCCTAGGCATGAGGGTAAGAGCGCTCAAAACTTCTGGGCAATTAACAGACATAGAATCTATTCTTCGTTCATTTAGAAAATCTGAGACACTAAGATCAGAGCTCTCTGAAAATCCACTGGATAATCTTTCTTCTAAATTGTCTTTAGCTACTTGTAAATAAAAGAGAAAAAGAATTAAAAATAAAATTAATAATTTTTTCAATATACAAATAAAATGAAAGAAAATAAAAAAAACTATCGTATAAGTTAAAAAATAATAGGGGTTTCCTACTTATATGCAGATTCACAGTATGGATTAGATAAATATAAAATATTCACTTAATATACTATTTTATTTACCTTCCTCTAATACAGTTTCTGACTTCTGTACTTTAAGAGGCGGCTCAGTGCTACTTTCCATTTCAAAATTTTCATTTGAATTCCTTTCTTCCGTATCTATTTCTTCGATATTCAAAGCTTCATTGACTCTATAAAATCCGGAATTGAGAGCGAGTACATCACATAGTAGTTCCTCATTCAAATCTACTACATCGTCGTTAAGTTTATCCTCGTTATTTGCCGCTGATAACATCGTTCCGGTTTTTTCACGTATACGCTCAACAAGCTCCTTAATTTCTGTGAGAAACGTCCGAACATTGTTTTCAGACTTGAGGATAAGGAGATCAAAAAGCGAAAGGGAATTGACTACTGGTTTGCCAGCGATTTTAGCAATTTCCGCTCCTTCACACACAGATATTGCTTCTTGAAGCTTCATTTGACGTCGCTCAGACTTTGCCTCGGGAGTGACATACGCCCAAGGACCACGTTTTTTGCCTTTTCTTTTCAATGGATCTTGAGGTGGAGTCTATTTTAATTTTAATTATAAATATTTAAAAATTAATTATTGGTATACTGTAATTGAAAACTTCAAATGATAAATTAAAATTTAGTTTTTAAATTTTTGAGTGATATATATTAAAATATATATATATTTTTTTTTTCTACAAGTCATTTCTATGTGTCAAGTTAAATTAAAATGCATCGATATAAAACATCTATCCTATTTTTACATAAAATGTTATTGTTCAAAGTTGAATAATTGAAAACTCATACCTGTTTCAATTCGGCTTCGATAGTCGGTGGCGGTAGTTGATCGGGACTTCCATGATCTGGATGCATTTCGAAATGTCTGGCCATTCTTGTTCTGCCTAAGTAGATTTTGCTACATGTGGGACACCTAAAGTGATCGGATATCTTACGCTTCGGCACCTCCAAACCTGCTAGCAGTTCTGTCCTTTGGATACCATCTTCCTCCTCGAGTTTATTGCTGTTAATGCAACCTCCACTCGTGTTGTAATCGCTATAGCCACCATCCGAGTCATCCATGTCTGGTTGCATAAAATCTAAGTGATGTAGATGTTTATAATCGCGCACCATGTGTCTAGGAGGCCTGGACAATCTACCGGATCTTGTACGCGCCACAATCTTTTTCCGTTCATCCTGTGTATAAGTAAATTTGATTATTTATTTCGATCGCAATAATAATAAAAAACGATGATGTAAAAATTAATAAAAGCAATTTTCTTTTGTATTACTTAAAAACATATTCATGAATTGATAATACATATTTAACTTTGAATTAAATTCGTAAGAATTGTTAAACACTTCTTAAATTCTATCAATAGTAAAACTTTAATATAATATTTTTATATTAACTTTAAATAATTTTTTGTATTTACTTTAATAAATATTTTAGTTCTTAATTAAACTAATTTATTCATTCTTGACTCGATTAACATATAAAGTATAAAAATCTATATTGTGTTATTAATAAAATAAAATAACTTATTTAAATTTCTTCTACAGATACTTCATCATATTTAGAATAAATTTAGTCATTTTCGTACGCGTAAGTATAAAAATAAAAATTCATATAAAAATAAAACTAATATTGATAATATTATAATTATTCGTAATTAACATTAAAAAAACAAATATCGAATTTCATTAATACTTTAATTCTCAAGTAAGACGCTTAAAATACCGTTCTTTCTTCAATTTATCTTTTTTATTATTACAATAAACATTAATAATATTAAATATTATTATGGTTTTTTTAAATTTTAAAAATTTATATAATATATTTTACTATAAATTTTTTAGCAAGCAATATAAATATTTTCAATGTAATTTTTGTGTGATTATTTTGTTACAATATATTGTAATATTAAAATTCATATAAAATTATTTTAAAGTATTGAAAAATGAATAGTAATTTTTATCTCTAAGTTTATGCCGTCTTAAAAACGTATAAGTATTACCTTCCCGTCATCCTGTTCTTCTTCAGGAGTTAGTTTATTAGTTAAGATAGGCGGTCTTATAGCATTTTTCTTTGGCCTACCCCGCTTACCTCCCCGATTTTTTAGTAATGAACTTGGACTCTTCATTCTTAGATCCATTTCGTCAGGAAAAACCAGTCTATGGAATCAATATTTGCACTATCAACATTTTTAAGTGTTCATTCTAATTTTTATGTTTTGATAAACTTGGATAGTTTTATACCTATAAACGACTTTTTCGTTAGGATTCGAAGATTCTTGACTACGTTGGTGCAGAACCTGAGCTATCTGCTTCAACTGAGACTGCGTCAAACGTTGCATACTGCAAAATTAGTGTTTTGCATCAATTTTTTGTTTTGTTCCTTTTTTTAGATGTGAAAACAACTTCATAGTATGCAGCCATTGGTACTTCAATTTTAATTTTTATATTTTTCAATTTTTTATAATTATTTTATAAAGAAATAAACATTTTTTTTTTTAATAAAAACAATAAACGAATTTATTTTATCAAAAATTTAAAGTACTGTTCAATACTATGTAATTAAAAATTTATGTTAAATACTTTTTACACTTTGTAACAAACTTTTTATGTAATAATTTAATTGATATTTGTTAATATTATATAAATCTGATAAACACCAATTTTCAAATTAAAAAAAAACTTATTAAAACAAAGCATTTATTATAAAATATAATAAATTTGTTCATTTTATTTTAAGCTCTAAATGAATGGCATATAAATTAAATTTTACCTATGAAAAGTATGACCTTGTTGTACAATTTGGATGGGATTTTCACTAGATCCCAATGGTTTGTTTATATCTGACTCTAGCTTAGTAATAGTTTGCTTTTGTGGTATTTTTTTTTTAATACTTTTTATTATAGAATTCATACTCTGTTTTAATTTTGCAGTAACTAAAGGCTTTATAGTGTCTGAAAACTCAATCTGTTTGATAGAATTTTTTTGGGCTATAAATGTATTTGTATAATTTTGTTTCGATAAAATACTATTTATGCTCTTTGTTTGAGGTTTCAGGATCGACACTGGTGTATTAGAAGACTGAGTTCTAATTTTTGAAGTTGAAACGGAAGTTGACTTTGAATCATCAGTCTTCATTGCTGGAGCTGTTCTGAATATCACTGATGTACTAGTATTTTTTGACGATGCTAAAGATACCATTGGATTTTTTATATATGTAGTTTTCAATAATTGTGTAGGAAACTGGATAGACTTTATAGTAGAAGTAGTTGCATTTTGTTTAATTGTATTACTATTCAATAAAGACATAGTTTTTACAGATGTTTGGGAATTTGAAGTTGTTTTCAAGATGGGGGTAAAAAATTGTTGAAGATTTCCTTTTTGCTGAATTTGACTTTGTACAGACTTTCCAGTAGACTGACAAATCTACAAACAAAAAATATATAAATTTACTACTTTATATATTTATTTTTAATAAATACAATACAGTATGCTTATAATTTTTTTTAATATATAAAATTATTTAATTTATTTTATATTAAAAATACATTGGGTTAAATAATTTTTTATTATTCACTTTTAATTGTTTATCAACTCACCAAATTTTGTGTTAATGCAGGTGCATTATTCATGTTCTCCATTGCATATAATGATTCATTCATTTCTTGATCATTGTTATCACAGTTTTTGGAAAACAATTGTGAGGTATTTAGTAGTTGTGTAGATATATTATTTGTTGTACTAAGAAATTGTGTCCCTGCAGGCATAGCTTTAATTAATTGTGGAGATATAGTATTTAATAGTGATGTTTTTGGAAGAAGTAAAGAATTTTGTGAAGTATGTATAGTGTTTGAAGTTTTAGTTGTATTAGGTAATATTCTAATATTCTTAACAGGTGTAAGTACTGTTTGAGCTGGTTTGATAATAAACTGAGAAGATGGTAAAATCACAGGAAACCTTTGCAATATTTGTGCTTGAGATTCAGTAATACTGTTATTTGTTTGGGTATTAGCTGAAGATATATTGATTTGAATTGTATTTTGTAAAAAATTTCTATCACATTGATTTTCAGCATTTTTTGAAGCTTTTTGTTCTAATTTATCTTCTGTTTGATTTATGTGAACTTGAACAATATTATTTGTTTGTTCTGTAATTATGTTTTCTTCATCTTGATTAAAATTTTCTATTGTTTTTAATGTTAAACTGGATTCAATTGATTCTTGCTGATAATTCTCATTATGAGCACTGTAAAAATATTAATATAGTTTTTAAATTTAATATTTTAATTTTGATTAATTAAAAAATGTATTAAATATAATTCATAATAAACTAAATCAAATAATATGTAGAAGAAAATTTTGTTATTAAAGTGAATAAATAGAAAACATTTTTTTATAAATTTTAAACGAATATTAGAAAAATTATAAAAAAATATTATTTTTTACAATTGAATTGTAGTAAATAAATCAGGTAATTATAGTAAATAATAAAAAGTACTTTATAACCTTGTTAAAATTTATATCATTTGTACTACTTATGATACACTGACTTAATTAACAATAAAGAATAACATTTGTATATTTGTTTAATTGTTTTAGATTTGTTTATGTAAATGGAAATAATCAATCATTTTATATCACAATAATAAATTTATGTATTTACTTATTTAATACTGTATAATAATTTAAAATGATTATCAACTACATAACACATTACATAAATTACTAAACATTCATGAAATAAAATAAACAAAAAATACATACTTTTGTGTGTACCCATCAAATGTAGCGCATGTATCATCTCCATTATGTTTTAATAATCCACTTTCAGTCAATTCATTAATAATCCGCTGTGATTCCTCTTGGCTTAAACTTTGTTGTTGCGATTGTTCTAATTCTCTGCAATTTTGGAAATCTGTAGTGTTAGCCTCTGAAGACTGATCGTCGAATTTTATGGTTATACCGAGTGCTGCAGCTTGTTCTGCTGTTAATTGAATAACTTGAGCGTCACTTGCATCGTTCTGAAGAAATGCCACAAACTCATTATCTTGATCATCTTCGTCGACAACTTGCTGAAACGCTTGTTGTAAAAGATCTCTACTACCGCTATTCCCATTTGTAAACACGCTCGCGCCACCGATTTCTGCCATCGTGCAGCTGCGAACGCGTTTTTCTTGTTAGTAAGTTGATTCTCTTTTCCTCTCAAATTTCTACGCGTGAAATTTTCGAAAGATGGATATTTGTTTCACAAGATATTTACGCGTTCAAAAAGAGGTTAAGTTTGCATGCTGCTTATATCTGATATACAATATGCCGACGGGGACGGCGCGCGAAAAATTTTTTCTCCCTCTACGTTTGATTATGTTGCATTTATTATGGAAGACGCGCAAGCTATACTTCTTTTTTCTATTCTTTTTCTTGCTTCTCTCTTTCTCTCTTTCTCTCTAGATGCGTATATATGTGCTTGTGTATGCATTTATATTCTCTGCGCTATTGTTGACTGCAAGCAATTAATTTTCTTTATGTTGCACATACACTATGGACGAAACAGGGGTACCAAACTTAGGTATGGTTATATTGTCTGAAGTAAGTAGAAAGCTAATCTTTTAAGCAATTATAGTCAAGAAGTCCAGTTCTGTTTAATTTCTTCTTTTAAAAATAAAAAGCGCGAATATTCAATAAAATCATAATGAGACCATTGTGTTAATAATAAGAATTTAATTATATATAATATTCGGTAAAAGATTATTCATCTAAAATATTTATATAAGCAAATGTTTTATTGTACAGTAAGAATAAAATACTGTAGTAGATACACTAATTCATAAAATCTTTAGCAAAACGATCAACAAGCGTTCAACTACTTACCTGACAGAGTGCAAGTAGAATAGATCGAACACCTACTCCATAACGATAAAATTAAGAAGACTGCAATTTAAAACATTTTAATTTCATTTTCAAGTTAACGCAATAAAACATAGATCACTGACACCAAAAATGAATAATCAGAGCTAACAAAAGGTATTTCCAATTACAATTGTTGCGATTAATAAATAAAATTTAACGGTTCTTATAAAAAAGTGTATTTATTTTAATTTCCCCTTTCATTCTTTTGTGTTTTTTTCATATAGTATTAAATTATTAATATTCATCATGAATATCATTAATATTCATATAGTATTAAACACTGTAATGTCAGTGTTTATATCAAAAGGTTTATATCTTTTAAATAATAACATTTATCTTTTATCTAATAGAAATTTTTGGCTGAGATAAAATAATTTTTAATCTTTCATAGTATTTTGTACTTTAATAATGCTATTTTTAAGTCATTGATATCAAACACTAATTTATAATTCTTAAGATAAAAACAATATCCACAAATAAAATGTGGTTGTAAAATAAATTAATTAATATAATGATCATATCCAGAAGGAAATCCAATAAAAATTTGAGTTGTAACAAAATTTATATATATACACGATTATTAGATAAATTTATTATTGATTATACATTATTTTTATAGACAAAAGTATATATTATGCAAAATAAATTTATATTATAATGATATTAATGTCATTAGAAATATTTTTTGCATAAATAATTTTGTAATAAAAATGTGAGCACAATCAATTATTTTATATCTACATTTAATCTCAGTCGGTAACAAAGTTATTGAAAAGCCTATTCTATTACTTGCATTTATATTAAAATAAGTAGACTTCATATCAATAAATACATCTTCATTATATATATATTTACACAACTCAAAATTTACAAGAAATGGTAAGTTTTAAAATATTATTATTATTGTGAACTAAATTTAATTACTAAATTAATATTTTTTGTAATATTATATTTGTTGATTTACTGCGTACTATCGTATAAAAATATAAATATATTAGAGTTTTCTAAAAATATTTTAATAAGAAAATATATTTTATTTTTCTTAATAAAATGAAACATGATTTTAGAATATAGAGATTTTTAAAACTATTAGAGTTTAATATAGTTGTTATATAATAGGTTGTTAATAGGTTTTTTTTTTCAACAATTCAACAAAGAATTAATAATTCTTTTTTTTATTAAATAAAATAAATAAATATACATATATTTATTTATTTATCCATCTAAAGTCCAATACTAATATTTAATCAATTTAATATTTATGAGATATTATATATTCTTTATTAATATTTAGTATTTTTATTTACTTATTTTTAGTTAATAGAGCAATTTTCTCCAAAAGCTGGTATCAATATCTAATTGACTCCGAACAAACATATCTGTTATATATTGTCAGCAACATCCAAAGAAGAGACCAATACAAGTAAAAAATTGATTTACTTAAAGAATAAAAAAATTTTATTTTATCAATCTACTTACTAAACTTTATCTATAAAATTATATTGGAATATCAATTGAGATTCAATCCGTATGTTGCAATTTTTTTTAATTAATGTATACTTATGTATAAAAATTGAAATATCTTGAATATTCTATTGTATTTCTAAACTTAATTTTAGATTATAAAAGAATTTAGATTATAAAACAAGTTTAAATTTTATAACTTAAATTATTTTCTAATTGTTTTTTACAACAAATTATATCTTATATTTTATTTATTATAATTAGATTATTATAATTATAATTATATTTTATTCGATACAGAATTTCTTTATTTACTAAAATGAAAATTGAAAAATTAGAATTTAAATATTATTGTTTATTTCTATTTAACCTAATTAATATAGTATTTAACTTTCTATAGGATTAAATTTTACATATAAATTTTTTTTTTCAAAGTTACTACTCATGTTGAATTATATATGGAATATGATAGATTATAGATAAAGAGAAATCAACGGAATAATACTATACCTTTATAATAAAAAACTATTCTACAATTTAAAATAAAGGCACAGAAGCTTGTATTTTAACTATGACGACAATAAGCTGTTTATTATATTTATTAAATATTTAATGTGCAATCCTTAATTTAATATCAAATAAGAAATACAAAATCCTGTTCAAGTATCCTGAATATTTAGCAGACACAATTCTCGATAATAATAATTGTACAGTAAAAAATGCTTATTTATTTATCCGATATTGGAACAAATGATAATTAAATATGATAATTAAAATTATTATAACTGCAATTAACTAAAGTTGAGAAAGAAAGTTTTGTAAAGACTTTTTTTGTAAAAAAAAAATTTAAGTTTTGAAAATGATCAGAGTAAACAATGTATAACTAATTCACCATATGGGGCTACTAAACAAAATTTCTCGCTCTATAATACCCATTTTATCATATATTATAAATGCTTGGTAACAAAAACTAATTTTTTAAAGTTTTTTAGTAGGTTTATTATTTATATAACAATAATTAAAATAGATTAAATTGGTAAAATCATATTTTCAGAAATGTTTGAAAATGTATTGTATAAATGGTGCATTAAATCTATTCATCAACAATTTAACAATTAATAAATATAAAATTATATTTTGATACTTTGTTTTCAATACTTAGTATGTAATAAATTAATACTTTTGTATTATAAAAAAAATAAGAATTTATTTTATTTCATTTGTATTGAAACTGCATTTTTCAAATACCTTATAATATTAATAATATTAAACTAAGAAAAAATTAATAATACAAAATTATGTAAAATTATGCACAAAATGAAGTAAAATAAATTCTTAATTTTTTTTAAGGATTCAAGTACAATTTCTAATGTAATGGTATTATTAAATATATCTTAATACACTAAAAGATTTTTTGCTTTATAATTTATCCTTCGTAACACCGAACAAATTATAGTTAAATGACCTAATATATTGTAAATATTTTCGAGGTATAAGCAATCATCAATACAATATTTTTATGTATTTTTTAATCAATATTTATGATGTATAATTAGGTCTACCTACTATATTACCTATTAAACTGAGAATTCGCTTTATCATGTAATTATAATATTTATAAAAATTTAAATTATGGTTTTTGTAACTTATTTTGAATTGAATAAATAAACTTTAGTTTTACTCTTAATTTTATATAAAACTATATATTAATTTGCCTAACTATAAGACGCTGTTACTTAACGCTGTACTTTTATACAATCAATAAATACTTTTAAAAAATTTAGAAAATCAAATAAATTCATTAAAATTATTCTTTAAAAACTTTATAAATATAATTATCTATTAAAATTATGAAAATTGTTTAATTTACATAATAACAAAAAAAGTATATTTCAACTACTATAGTTTTAGATAAATTTAGTGAGATTTATGTTAAAAAGAATGTTATTATGTGTAATAATGAAATTAATGTTAAAAAGAATTTATTTTTTAAAAAGGAAAATTTCGAAAAATTATTATTACTTTAAAAACAATTTGCTTTAGTTTTAAACCATTTATAAAATATTACTGCAAACGTATATAGTTTTCATTTCATTAATAAAAATATAATAACACATTTTAAAATAAAAATAGTAGAATAAAGTCATATTCTATATTTTAATAATTTCTGATTATACAATAAAATTTTTAATTTAATTTAAATACATATGTGCTAAATATTAATATCATATATTATAAATAATATATCATCAATTTATATACAATTTCATTTTGATATTCTAAATTGTTTACGATCAAAAACCACAAAAAATAATATACTTGTGTATTACAATTTTCAAAGATGGGAATATTGGTAAACAATAAAAAAGAAAAAAGTCATGAAAATTTGCATTAATGTAACCGAAATTTCATTAACAGTATATCTGTACATATATGTGTATTGATTAAGCTATTTTTTCTAGTTTTATTATATTTGCCTATCTTCTATCTTTTGCTAACTATATTTTTATATTGCATATAATTTAGAATATGAACAACTATTGAATATTCAAATGGTTTCTTACTACGTTATTAAGATTGCCGTTCACTAAATAATTGCATAATCAATATAGCAATTCAATATATATAAATGTATATTATTATTATAAAATTCTTTCATGTTTTACGAGAATATCTTTTATAATAATTTTCTTACATATAATCATAATAATGTATTATAATAAATTTTTGCAAATTGTTTAAATAAGTTTTTTTTATATTACTAATGACAAATAACGACTGGATTAGTAGTTTTAATATTTCCATCATCTTTCGGATTACGGTTAAAAATGAATTTAATTAGAAGTTATAAAATATTTATTTAAAAGTTGTTTCTACCTATTATAAAATATATAATAATAAATATTATTTTGTTAAATAATGAATTTGTTCATTTTTAAAATATATTATATTATGTAGAAATTCACTATTATATTGTTTTAACAGACTGTACATTTATATCAGTTATAAGTACTTAGATAAAAAGTATAGTTCAAATAAAAAAATACATTAAGCTGGTGAATGATGTTTTCAATTTACTCACAATATGAAAT